AAAGAAAGAAAGAAATCCTTAGTTGCGACTTTTTATTCCAATGAATGATTATAATTTTTCATTTCTCTTAGCTAACTTATTTTTACACTATTAAGAAAAAAATTAAACTCTTAATATCAAATTTGTTTTCAGATTTATTGATGATTTAATTATCTTCAAAATTATACAATTCTGTTAAATAATATTTACCCCGTGGAGTTAATCATGCTTCGTAATTATGATTAACTTTGATTTCTTTAGATTTAGGTATTAAAGAAGAAGAAAAACACTGTTGATTTATACGATAAAAGAAATGATTTTAATATAAATAAACTAATTACTTGAAATTCTAATGTTTCTAAAAATATTTATTTAAATGCAATTTTTAATCAAATTTAATCAAATGATTAGAATAAAAAGAATAAGTAGTAATATTCATTTATCCAAAAAACTACTAGACAAACTCCTTCAAAATTTGATAATAAGCAATGTATACCCAACTAATATAATTAAATTGTATATTAAATAATTGAGTCAATTGTATGCTATTATAATTAATAAATTTACTAAACACTTATTTGTTAACTAAAAATTTCGAGAAGTTTTCTTGGTTTCCTTTTCCAAGTAACGCAAATGCGAGATAGTTCCATCAAAATATAATCCTTGGAGGCTAGTTTGTCCTAATGATTGATTTAGCAGTTCTCTTGCCTTCTGTGTTCTGCCTTAGATACATGAACGCCTACCTAATTTGACTGTTTTCATTTCAATTTTACGGAAAAATGTTTTTCAAATTCTCTTTCTTTTTGAGGCGATAATTTTCTGTTCATTCTAAAATACCTTTTTTTTGTTTAAAGAATTCATATAAGCGCAGAAAATGTGTGCTAAACATTTGCATATTTTAGAAAATAAATTATGTAAAGGTTAAATATTTTGTGAAGCACATTCGCTAAACATAATTTCACATTGACATTTGATTCTTCAATATTTGATTCATATACAGCCACAAACTGGTTCATTTTTATTCATAATTCCGCTTTCACCAAAGCTTAGATACATGCATAGGAACGATATTTTTTTTTCTTTCAATTTGCTTCTAGTCTTTCTTCAAGTCTACTTACGCAGCTTTCGCCTTAATCTTGTTTAACACCCCAGCTTTTATACTTTTGTAGCCGGCGTTTAACAGCCGACCTATTTTTTGGACTTGAATGTTCAATTCGTTCATTTTGAACCCAGTCCGGCATGCAAAAAGCCTTCTTGGAGGACTTTTAGACGGAAATGACCCACAATTGCGTTGCTTCAAAAGGAAAGCCGCAAAAATCTCCCGCGTTTAGCCCGACGGACTCTAACCCCTGATCTGTCTGCCACTGAGGATATTTTACGTTAAGCTCTGTATTTGGTGTAAGTAGAATTCAAATCAACTAGTCATCGCTTGGATTCGAATCATCTCATTGGGTGCTTGAGCCACAGATTCACTCCTCTTAGAAAACGAACTAAAAGTGAAAGCAACATTTCAGATTTCTTCTTTTGCAGAAATGCTTTTTCGCTTTCGAAAAGAAATGGCCGATTCGTGACGCTTTTGCAGATCAGCGGTTCGTCCCTTTTTTTTAAAAAAAACAATATTTGAACTATATTTTCATAGATCGCTATCGTTTGCCAACCGTTTTGCACAGATCATCTGAACGCCGGTGGGTGATAACGGGTTACCGATGATGTGGCCAAAAACAAAATCCATATATTGGAATTATTCGCCATCTGGGGAGAAGACCCGGTTCCATGTCTTGCCACCCTTTCCTCTATTCCTTTTCTCAGTTGAATACGATAGTTTCCCCTTTCTTAATATTTTTCATATTTATCTGTTAAAAATATTTTAATTTCCACAACTCCTTCGTTAAGAACTATGTTTAATGTAGTTTTCAGTTCCATATGGTTTTATAATTCAAAAATTTTTAAACTATTTGAAAATCAGGACAGAAACTAACTCACTTCCTTCTCCGATGACTCTCCACACGCTACAGATAAAAGCGTGCGAAGTGTTGCCACTGGTAGAGAGTTCTGCTTGCTCTCACGTCACCTGTGGCCCATTTCTATCTCCAATATTAATATTCTCTTTGAAATAAAATGTCATTTTATTATTCAAATACTGATAACAAATTAAAACAAAGATATTATCTTCCGACTAAGAGTACGTGGTTGCAAAAAATCGTTATATTGCGATTAGTTTCTCCTTTACAACGAAATATCACCAAATTTAATGATTTAATATCGCCAAAACTACTTTTTAATTACTAAACTACTTAAAACTACTTTTTAACTCGGAAATTTAAAAAAAAAAAAAAAGAATATGTAAAGCATTTGGGGCAATTTTCATCCTTAAAATTGAATAACGGGAAAAAAATAAATAAATACTTTTTTTCTCGCTAATAAGTTTAGCCGAGCAAAATAATGCAGCTAGAATATTAACTTCGAAACTAATGACGGTATAAATAACACTTTTAAATTCGATGCTCATTTAACACTTTTCTAAAAATAGGATGTCATTTTTTTTTCATTCAAAAGTTGTTGTTTTTTAAAAAAAAATACCTAACATTAAAAAAAAAATATATATGTATTTCATTTTCAAAATCTATTTTTTGTTTTCAACTGGAAACTACAATAATAAATAATTAACTACAAAAAAAAATCGTCAATCACGCAGAAAAAGATAAAAGAACTATTACTTTCCAAAGCTATTCCTGGAAAAGGATTTTCTGTTAACCTGATTCTGAGTTTTAAAAACTCACCTACGCTCCTGATTGGGAAGGGGGGGGGTAGAATGACCGGTACCGTCTTAACGTAGGCACACTAGGGTAATGCTCGGGGGTCCAGGGCACTCAGGGGGCTCTTGAGACTTACTTTTTTAAAAATTACATTATAAAAAAAGCTAAGAATAAAAACATTGCCTTACATATTATATACATAATATATTATATTTTATAAAGCGTACATTTTTTGTCTACAAATAGTGATTGATTATCAAACACCAATAATTTGAAATAGAAAGAAAACTTAAAAAGTCAACCGAAAACTATTTTTCTTCGTTCCAATGAAAATTTTAGGTACTCGTAAAAATTTTAGGGGCATTGTAAGATGTTTTGATAACTGTTTAGTTTGACAAAATAATTCATGCCTTTAGAATTTTTTATTTATTTATTATACCTTTATGTTTATTTAATTTATTTTAATTAACTTCCGTGGTTTTGAAAATTATTTTATTATATGAGGATTACAACTCGTAGGCATATTAATTTTTCTTTCAAATTATGCATAGTTTAAAAGTGCTTTGAGGTTTTGGGTAAGCAAAATTAGTTAACATTATTGCATCATATCTTAAAAAGGATTTATTTTATGCATGTAAAGTTTTTTATTTTGTTTTTAACACTAAACATACCACCACTTAAAAAAATTTAATTCATTGCTCAGAGCATTTTTTACATTTGCAAGGTGTTTTCATTTTTACATTTTCCGCAAACATATTTTTCACATTTAGAACAAATTTTGATAGTTTTATTGCCATTACAATATCTTATTTGGCATGTCTTACGTTGATAAGAATTCTGCTGCTTTCCAACACATTTAGTTTTTGTCACTTTTTCTGACGCAAAAATGCCAATCTTAAATTTTAGGTACTTTCTTGAAATTTGAATTCACAATTATACTGATTGAGCTAATTACGCAACAGTTTCTGCAAAAATGTGCAACTCATCGAATGTAATACGTTGAACACGCATTACATTGTCATTTATGATCCAATAATCTTATAAAGCAATACATTGTTCTCCCGGTCAAATGAGCGGTTGTGGTAGAATTAGGTATACGACTAGTATTATTCGAAACAAACAATATTCAATAAGATAATAATAATAGAATATTAACTGTATAGAATTGTTAGAAAAAGTCATGAAGTCAAATGTGCAAAAGCAATTCGATGATATGCCCCTTTTCGATACAAAAGTTATGGTACTTTTAGCGTTAAGCATTATGAAATGTTATAGGTCTAACATATTTTTGTGCCGGGAGGCCTTGATAATGACTTCGAATATTTAATAAAATTATAGACAGATTCATCAGATCGATTTTTCGTGTTATTCCGTCCGTTCCCACTTAGGATAGGGAGCTGCGGGATGTGAAAGATCGGTCATTTCGAAAGTTTTGTCTGACATTAGGCAAATTTAGAATACAGTCAAAATGACCGAATGTGTTGCAAATGAAATTATAAATCCTCTGGGATTTAAACAATAAATAAATAAAATAAAAGGCATGTAAAGTCCAAAAATTATGTGAGAATTACTAAAATTTATTTTCATCAAAAGCAAATAAATTTAATAAAAACTGTTTCTATCGTTGCTGATAAATGCGACTGTTCTTTTAGAAAATTTGAAATAAAAAAAGTGTTATTCAAATTCAGATTTTAAAAAGAAAAAGAAAAGAGAAAAAAAAAACTAACCAATTTAATGTTCATTTCATATGAAAAAATACGTTATAATTCGGCGAAATTGGAATTTCTTCCTAGAAATCTGATAAAAATAGAAGTATATTTTTGGCGATTATGTAATCATTCGGAAAAATTAATGCTGTTCATTGACAAAAATATAAACGCAATACATAATTAATTAAAATTATAAGAACTCATTACAAATATAGTATGATGCCGTAAAAAGAATTTCAATCGGTAAATTAATTAAAATACAAATGTATTTTCCTTATCTGAATTAAAAACATGTATGTTTCACTAAAATTGGAATTTCAATCTCCAAAACATTTTAACTTTTCTAAAACAAAAAAAAAAATCGTTTGAAGGAAACGGAGAGAGAGAAAAAAAAACTTTTTTTTCCGCTTCATTCGATGTCTTTTCTTCGTGAAACAATGAACTCGCCAGAAAGGGGAAGAAGAAAAAAAAAAAGAAATCAATAATAAATCAAATCAAAATGTTTCAAAAATTGAAAGAAAATAAAAAAGGCGAGGAAACAGATCTCCCAACCAGGAAACTCAACGGGGTGGAGTCACGTGATGCCCAACCATACCTGAAGACCTATATAAATGAGATCTATACCTTTATCATTCTTCATTAGCTCGTCTTTTGATCTCTTGCAAACATGAAATCACTCTCAGCGGTGAGTTTTAACTTTTATCTCTCATTTCTCCAATAATCAGATTTTCACCATCGATATTTATTAGAGGGGCCATGAAATCGAATGCTCACTCTCCGGTAAAATTCTATTTAAAATTGAGCGATTTTAAACTAACTTACAATGTAACTCTATAAGCAAAACAGTTTTTTTAAAACTAAAATTCTTAGTTTCTTCAATTTAAATTTTTTCATTATAATTCGTGCCTCATAAAATGTTTGTAATGTGTTTAAATATAAAAAATTTAATAATAGATTAAAGACAGATAAATAATAATAGACAGAATAAATAAATAAAAAAAATTTAATTATTATTTAAAAGTTTTTTTAATAAGAATCATTCTTTATTGAAATTGATACTTAAAAACTTAATTTTTGTTTTTAATTTAAGACAAAGTATAAATTGATTTATCATCTTTGCTTTAAAAAATTAAATTAAATTTTTAAAAATACTTGTGTTAAATGGAAATAACGATATTTATGAGTTAAAATTGCACTGAGAAATAGTGCTCTTGGATGACGGGTTTGACTAATGGATTTGAATTGTGTGTTCCTGAATTTTCCACATTGATTATGAATTTCCTGTCAGGTTCACTCTAAATGACATTTTCATTTTTTTGACTTCAAAGTAACCTAACAGGTAAAGACTTTTTAAAAAATTTAGTTCTTACTTTTGGTACAAGAAAGAAAGAAAAATAATTCTTCAACTTCAATCAAATACTTAGAGAGAAAATGAGTATAATAGTTCATTTTTGTATCCAGCTAATTTTTAACAACGATTCTAAAAATTTTTTAAATTCACAATAATTATACTTTGATTATTTCGATTCCATTTTTGTATCTAGCTATCATTTTTTAGAACGATTCTAAAAAGTATTGAAATTCACAATAATTATACTTTGTTTAGATTCCATTCATAATCCTATCTATATTTAGAGATGATTCTGAAAATTATTTATAAATTCACTATAGCGTAGGTAATTATGTCAGTTAACATAGTAATTGAATGCATTTAATGTTTTGGAGACTTATATAATAATATTCTTCAAAATTGTTTTTAGCGTTTTTCATCATGACCCTCATGTAGGTTCGTGGCAAACGTTATTATTGTTAAGAGACTACCAGAGAGCTACTCTACTGAAAAATACTACTTAACTGAAATAAAATTATTCTTACTCATTTTGACAAAAAAATAACACATTATTTTAACGCAAGAATTTTGTTCTATAATATCACCATAGCAGCCGATGATTTGCAGTATCAAACTCTAACTTTCAGCTTACATGTACTAAAATAACAAATAAATTAAAATCTAGCTTACAACTTAAACAAACTCAAATAACAAATAAATGAAATCAAGTACTTTTGACAATTACATTTTACAAATTCAAATACTTTTCTTCCCCAAAAATAAGTTTATTTCAATCCGTTTTAATAATAATGATAATCAAGTAAAGAAAAGATATCACATTAGAATTCTTTTGTAGCAAAGAAAGTCCATACGAATCAGTTGTGATGGATTCGATAATTATTAAATGAAAGTTTCCGTTATTTCTTATTAAACGTGTTAAAAATGAGAAGGGATCATCGGAAATGTAACATAAAACATTTTTTTTTTTTTACTTTTCAAAAATCATGTTCAATACTCAAAAAATATAAAAAAATATAATTAATTTTTGCGCTTATCTAAACACCGCAATTTGATCCGTTAAAGAAAAACAACAATTGGAATATTTATGTAAGGCAACGAACAGATTTTATAGAACAAATTTTTTTTTAAATGGTTTGATTATGAAGAAGATTTTTAGTGGTTAAGACTTTTTTATGTGTTTAATTACTATCATTAATAAAACAAAAAATATTTTATTCAACTGTAAAACTTAACGCTTTAGGTCAAAAATCAAATATTTGTTTCGGAATTATTTAGTTCACTGAAATTTTATTCTTTATCATGTCTTGTTATCCTATCAAGTGAAAAGTAGGGAAAATTTTGATTAAATTTTTTTTTACAAAGTTTACCTTTTAAAAATCTAAACTCACCAAATATTACAGTTATAAAACATTACATTTAAGTTACAACATTGTGCAAATATAGAGTACGTTAATAGTTGTGATAATTTTCGTCTTAAAAACATGCGCTCGATTCGTTTCAAAAATGACATTTTCTGATACAACCCTTTTATTTCATTATTTAATTTTCAAATGACACAAATTTTGAAAATTAACCATTCATCAAAATATCATTGTGGCAACAGCCTAGTCACGGGAGTTAAAGACCTAACTTACTAATATTAAGCTAATAAAATCTAAAAAAAAGATTCATTATTTTGCCAGAAAATCTTTATTTTCGTAAGCGATCATTTTTATATCACCTTCAGGCTGTGATTTTAGTTCCTTCAATTTTCAAGAAAATAAATATAAATGTAATTGTGCCTCCATTTTATCGTCTCAATTCTTCTTAAAAACTACGATATCGATTTTCAAAATATTTATTTAGTCATTATGAAAATTTTTTATTTTTCCTAAAACACATTTTTTTTTAAAAAATTTCGTCGGGTCATAAAGGGTTGTTTCATTGAAAAAGTAGTGCCAAAAATAACTTTTAACTACCGCAACAATTTATTTCATTTTAAGATTAATTTCCTTGTAAAATAACTATTTTTATACATAAGTATTTTTAATTGAGCTTTCACGCGGAATTGTTAAAGAAAAAGGTGGAGTTGAATTCAGTTGTCTAGCTTAGTATTCCTGATATTTCACTTAAGTTAGAGAGCTTCAAAATTGTTCGAAACATAGGGATTGAGAAAGATAATCGAATAGTTTGCGACGCTTGTAAGAAGCTCATTTTTTTCCAACTCATTTTTTTCCTCTGTGCTAGCAACTTTTAGTTTGTACAGAGCGCAAAAATATTTAAGAATATTTAAGTTAATATATTTTTTTACAAAAAATATTTGTTAAAATATTTATTTCGCTATTGTATGATTTTAAATTTTTAAAAGTGTTTTGGTAATTTGAATTACGTACTTAAATTCTACGAATTTTTTTTTTTTTAATTTTCATTTTTAATTAAAATAGAAAATTTTTACGCAGTTTTTAAAATAATTTTCGCTTCTATTTCTCAACTTTAAATATTATAAAACAAAATGTTCTTGAAAAATTTTAGCACTAATAGGTTTAAAACAATGTAAATATGAATGGAATCTAATTTAAGGATTAAAATCTGTTAACCGCTTCCTTTACCAACAAAAAACGCAAAAACAAAAAATTATTTCATTAATAAATACAAGGAACTAAAACAAAACATAATACACAAAGTTTTAAGTTGAAATTTTAATTTTTTTATGTGTAAAAGAAATATTTAATTTATCATCTGTTTACTATCCCAAATTATCACGGGCAAATGAGAAAAAGTTAAATATTAGTTTTTGTATATGTTCACATCTTCATCATCTGAAAAATCATCTGCAGTACTTTCATGTAAATTCTTTTAAATGTAAATTCAACAACCATCGTATATACAATTGTACAAAACGCGTCTGCAGTCCCACCAACAGCAAAATTCTCAAACAATAATTGGCAAACTTCCAATCACAGGAGATGGTATTATTTTTTGTTTTGCAGTCGGCAGAATAAAAAAGAGATAAAACAAAATGTATTGACGAATTCTGCAATCTGTAAAAAATATTTACAATATATAATAAATATTTGCAATATATGAATTAACTCTGTACAATCGGATAATATTGCCATCAGTTTTTATCCAAATAGTTAAAAACTCTAGTCAATCACCACATTTAATTTTTAGTAAAATTTTAGGTTTAATTTGCAAACGATAAACTTAGTATTTAAAAATTCACAAACAATTATACGTTATAAACGTTAGTTAACTTTTCTTGCCTTTTAAATAAGAGTACTTTCGTTCATTGAAGGAAAAAAAAAAGACTATTTTACTCGATTGACTTTTATTTCTTTTTTATTCGACAGTTTCTCCTATTGGTGTCCGTTGCCACCCTCTGTCATGCTAATATGGGGGCGGAAAAAGTGAGTGAAGATGATAATTTCATCGTCTACCGCATTCCTGTAAAAGATCTGGAATCTCAGGCCAGCGGATACTATCAAGGCATTTCTCCAAGTACCCTCGGAAGGTCCTCCAGCAAAAGTTCAAGTTCTAGCAAAAGCACATCTTCATCGACTGGGTCCGGCAAGGGTAAAGGTTATGGGGAAGGATCTTCATCGGCAGGACATGGCCATGGTCACGGTGGATCGAGTCACGGAGAAGGTTATGGAGGCAGCAGTGAGGGCGGTTACAGCGGAGGTCATGGCTACGGCCAAGGTGGCTCCGGAGGTGGATACGGTCATGGTGGATCCGGCGGTGGATATGGACACGGTGGCTCTGGAGGTGGATATGGTCATGGTGGAACTGGTGGTGGATATGGACACGGTGGCTCAAGCGGTGGTTATGGCCATGGTGAATCTGGTGCTGGTCACGGCTATGGTGGTTACGGTACTGGAAGTAGCGGCCACGGAGCTGGCTATGGAGGACAAGGTGAGAACACCTTTACCTTTAAAAACAAATATTCTTTCGACTATTTGTAAATAAATACATTTTTCGTACCACTACACATTAATCTTCCAAGCATAAGTAAAACGGGTGAATCGTGAACTCTTTAAGCTAAATCATCTAATTTCGAAATTATAATTCGAATATATATAAGTATATAAATTCGAAATTATGATTTTGAAAGCCTTTTTAGAAGTTTTAATCTTTAGGATTTATTTTCGTAGTACGGTAGAGACATGTGAGAACACAGTTATTAATGTTATTCATTATAAATGACGAAAATCAGTGTTGTGAGGTGTCTCTAAATTATATCAACAAGCGTAACACCTTTTAACCGTGATAGTTAAGAGGCAGTTCTTAAAAATTAATTTGCAAATATAGTTTTTCTTAAGGAATCTAAACATGTTAGATTATAAATGACATAACACAAAAAAAAGGTACAAAATTTTTTGAAAGTAAAAAGGTAATTGAGAGAAGGAATGGTTTGCTTGAAGGATCTCTCAATAAGAGGGAACTATCCTCACAAAAACTAATAAACAGCAAAATAAGGCTGTTTTTTTCTCTCTCAGAAAGCAACACTACCGGCTGTATATGATGAGTCAATATAATTTGACTCTTCATTTTCAGACGAGGTGTTACCGAAAGGTATGATTCTTGTCTATAAAACACCCCCCAAAGATTGATTGACAGAAATAAAAATGGCTGTTTTTCTGTGTCAGGATACCCTCAGAAAGCCAGCTACACACCGGCTGGATATGATGAACCATCCGACGAAGAGTCAGACTACCCGAAAGTCGTAACGACCACCAAAACTTACACTACGAACAGTGCCCATGACTCAGGACGACCCAGCAGCCAATACAGGCAAATTCCGGACAGTCTAGGAAACATTCGATTCAGGTTGGGAGATTATTTGAAGAACACACCCGGGCATGAGGGCAGCGCCACCAAATATAGACAGAAACTAATCGAAGGTACACTTTTTTTTTTCTTTCGATCCATCATCATTCGGCCACATTTTTTAAAATCACCACTTCCTCGATTCTCGGTAAAAGAATAACATTTCAATCAATTGATTCCTTGCAAAACTTTCCATGCTTATTCTATATAGAAAATCGACAAAAATAGAAGCTTTTTAAAAATATATATATAATTTCATCACTGTTATAATTCTTAAAGCACAGGAAGTGCTATCATTACACATTTATACATAAGTTTTATAGCCTTTATTTTATTTGAGACCACATATTTAATGCTAGGCACTCTGAAGAATGAAAAAAATAGACTTCTTTTTTTAAAAAAAACCCCATCAAAATCAATCAAATGTGGGATATCTAAATATCGTCATAAAATCTTGAAAACTAAAGGAAACTCACTCGCAAAATCTCAATTTTCGATTTTTTGGTACTTGCAACGCATTACTAAGCTGCTAAGAACATCTGGTGTATAAATATTAAATATAATTTCAGAGCAGCAATGAAAATGAAAGGAAAATGCACCAATGATTCGATTGTGTTAATTGGATGGTTTTTATTTCCATTTCATTTAACATGTTTCAGAGTAACCATCTGAGATCGGTTGTTTCCAAAACAAATTTTAACTTTTCACGTAGGTGGGGCTCCAACTGAAAATAAACTGCAGAAAAAAGAATATTTTTAAAAATGCAGTTTGAAGATTGCAGTGATTTGGCCAAAATCTACTACAGAAATTTTGACGTCGAAGAACTACAAAATTTCTACAGTTTGCAAATTATAGTCATTTTGTAGTAGAATCAATTTCCAAATTGCTGCTGTAATTTTTTTTATTGCGTACGCAATAAAAAAAAGTTACGACGCTGTCACGGGACGCGCAAATCTTCATTGCGAAAAAAAGAAAAAAAAATTTAGCGTCATCAGAAATTAAACTAAACTTGAAAAAAAAAAATCTTCCAAAATGAGAAATTTCAAATAATTCTAAGTTTAACTGATATAGAAATTCCTCTTTTAATTCTCTGTTGAAATATATTACTGAATCAATTAACTATCGAATTTTTCTAACTTATCATAAAATATTCATTTTTTATGAACACCTCATGAAAGTTGAGATTTATTAAATTTGAAATAGGGGTCCGCTTTTTGTCAAAAAAAAAACACTCGAAAGTTCTGGGTCTGAAGTGAAATTATTGTTTCTAAAAAGGAGGGCGTGTTTCAGAAGCTTAACAATCGAGAACAGGTTACTACTAAACATATTAAACCCCGTAATATGTACCGAGTGACTATTTTTAGAGATTTCAGGTGTCTTTCATTCCGAAAATGAATCTTGTCAAGCTACTACCAAACTGCGTACCATTAGTTTGTCTACTGTTAGAACTCCTCTCTCCACAAAGTCTGAGGCCGCCTGCTGCGACCCCTTCCTTGAAATAGTTATACCTCGTTACCACTTGTCCAGACGAATGGCTATAGAAGTTCTTACTGTAGGCAAACTATCAGTGCCGAATTAAGCGTACGCCTAGAGGCCATTCAAATTTTTTGGGCCCTTAGATTAAATTATTTTTCTCACATATTTTTTATTTATTCAAATATAAAAGTGTTTATAGTGTATCTTTTCATTCAAGAAAGCATGTTTAAAATTAAAATAAATAATAATAAATTAAAATTTACTTTATTTTGTTAAATTAGAACTAAAAAATAATCATAACATTTATATTTGAAATTGATATTTTAAAAAAAAAAAAATCATTGTTTTTCTTTTAAATTTATTTTCAAAAAATGCATTTTAAGGGGGCCCATGGCCTTGTCTGGCCTAATAGATAATGGGGCACTGCAAACTATACTAATTAAGTTTGTTTATGACCGTCAGTTCCTTTCTTATCAATAGCAACACTGAGGAGAAGAACATAAAAATTTATCGTAATATTTTTTCAAGTTTATACACAATGAAATTTGTTTATTTTTTCCCTTTCCACAGAATTCGGGGCAGCAGCCTCCTCCCCAGGCTACAGATCCGGTCAAGGTTTCAACATCAACGATTTGACTCGAAGCTTGAATCAAGGACTGAGACCCTCTTACAGAAACAACCCATACCAACCTCAAGCGTCCATTCTTTTTCCATACGCACTCCGACAGTTATAAGAAGAGAGGCTAATTTATCGCTTCAACTAGCCAAAGGATCGGATATTCAGGAGTCCGGATTCAAGTGCTTTAATAGAGCGTGAGATGTTCCACCCTCCATTTTAATGTCAACACTTTAATTAACCTTCTTCCGATGGAATATAGTTTTTCAACAATACGCATCTTGGACATAGTTGATTGAAAACTATGTCAGGTGTGGAGGTGGGTGGTGATGCGCGCATGAGTAAAGACAATTACTAGGTCTACCACAGCTGAGTGTGTGCAATACAGATGCGATTTAAGGAGTTTTATGACATATTTTTTAATCATAAAAGCCTTACTTTTAAATGCAATAGATATTTCCCAATATTGCTCATTTTAATTATAAATTTATGTTTAGTTAGAAGGGAAAGGGATGTAGCCTCCACATTTAAAAGAAAGAAAAGGAATGCGAGGAAGAAGAAAGAGTTATTTATTTATAGATTTGTATAAAGTCCAATAATTGTGTTAGCATTTTTTATACTCATTCATTCAACACTGTTTGTCTTTTGTCTAAAATGTTTGTTTCTCGATTTAATAAACTCATCTTCAGAGATATCTTCTCGATTCTTCTTTTCATGACGCAACAGTCGTAACAAAAATAACAGTTGTAACCAATTTACTCATTTATTTCTTTTAATCTTCGAAATTTGAGAAATTCAAAATGAATGCGCTATTTTAGTTAAGGGTTTTTTGAAATTTATTGTTTTTAATATTCATTGTTTTGCTTTTTTCCGATAAATTTAAATTATTTCTCTTCACACTCAACTTGCAACCAATTCAGAGTTATTGAATGGATAAAGCAATTATTCCAACTTACATGAGGCCGGGGGCCACAATTAACAACATAAATCAAATGGCGGGCCGCAACTTTATAAAAATTTTATGTAGGAATCTTTTATGCTTGAAGGAACATTAAATATTACTGTCAGATTTTTACCAAGTCGTGCAAAACAAAAGTATTGAATCACAAATTAAAATAAGAAGTGGTTTTTATAAAATACTTAATTGCTACTAATAATATTTCTAAAAATATTAAATAAATAATACGGGCTACAATAACTTTAATGTGCACCTACGTATTAAGCAATTAATGTGCAACAGATATCTAATTGCTAAGATATAAAACTTTAAAAAGGTTGGTATTAAAACTTGCATAGTACCACACAAAATGTTCAATGAGAAAATTGAGGTTTGTCTGCTGCAACCACCAGAGAATAGATATTTACATTTAAAATTTACAAATGTGTGTGTAAATATTTTCGTCCAAAATGAGTGGTTTCAAAAAGTTAAATCGGAGAATTTCTTCGAGAAAATTTCTGATACGCACACGCTGAATTATATTCACAAAATAGAAAAAAATGAAATAAAAAAGAGCAACATACACGATTATTTTTGTATTTGAATAAATATTTTCTTAGATGCAAAATCCGAGAAATAAATTTTTTTGCGGCATTGGTTTGTTAAATTTAACAAAAAGGAAGAATTTAGGTCTTTATTAACGAGAAAAGTATTTTAAACCCATATATAGTTTTTACGAAAATTGTCCGCAAAAAAATGACAACTAATATATTTTAGTTTGCGGGCCACAAAAAAAGGCTTCGCGGGCTGGATGCGGCCCCCGGGCTTCCAGTTGGAAACCCCTGTTATAAATGATGTGTGTGTATGTGTGAAGTAATTAAAAAAAGGGGTAAAACTCCCTTCGTTTACTTCAATGCATAAAAGTGGCAGCAAGATTTGATTAATTTTTCAACTTTACCCCAAACCCTAGTAATGAATAAGAAGAAATGCATATACATATACGACAGATTATTTTGTCGACAGGCTCATTTCATCAACAAGGTCGTTACGTCATCTGCAGTTTACTCGAAATTTAGTATATTTTACATTTTCTAAACTTAGCCTAAATTAAATTTGTATTCTGCAATTGTTAGCAAAGATTTTTTTTTAATTTGAAATTATTTACTCCTTTTGTTGTACCACTTTACGCTGCAAAAATTTTGTTTTAGTGATATTTTATTGGAATTTCTTTCCAAGACTGTTTATGTATTGAAGATTATACAATATAGATTAGCACCGCAAAGCAATTAATATGATGACTGTAAATAATTCTTGATATAGCAAGTAAACGAAAGAAGAAAAGTAGGAGAGAAAAACAGAATGTATTTTTCCTTTCAATGAATCCGATATTATTTGGTATTGAGATATTTTTCAAACTAAAAATTCCCTTTTAATGTCAATTTTTTAAAAAAAATTAATATTTAGTTGAGGAGAGTCGTTTGATGTACACCAACATTTGCTTTCTGATTGCAATTGAACGTGATCATGATTCTTTGACAGTTCTCAATAACCAAATTGTGGGTCTGACGTTAACAGTCAAACGATATTTAGAATTAAATCAAAAAAGATAGCGTGAAAATTAAGTTAGACTAAAGTGACCAAATTGATGACTATTTTTTTAGGGGATGAGTTCTACTTTGTGATAAATAATTTATAAAACTTTTTTTAATGACACTTTAGCAAAACCATATTATTGAGGATATCTCCCACACCCATGAGAAAAATCTTAGACCTTAAATAATTGTGTACACATAAATAAAGTGATTTGTCTGGTATCGTCTGAATAAATTTAAAAATTATACTTTCGAATCATTAACCTTCGATTTTTCCACAAGATATTTCAAAATGGAATGTGGTTTTATGTTTGCCATTTCTTTTTGGACGTATATATATATATATATATACTTAAATTAAGAGGAAAATATTCATGAGATTCGTTGTTTACATGCTATTAGTGTTAACTTTTTTTAATCGATGTCTATTTCTGTATACATTTGCAATAATGTACATTAGTTATATACTTTCTAATTTCTTGAAATTTAACTATAATACTAAATGAGGTACTTTTTTTTATAACCGTCGTTGAACAGCCGACCAAATTTTTCGGGTTTACGACTACTCATGAGCAACCCCGTAACCTTGTCAATTTGAACCCAATCCAGAAGACAAGAGAACTCCTACATCAAGTACAGAGAGAAATTTGTCGTCGTGGAGGTATTTTTCTTTAAAAAGGAATTTCATAGTTCGATTTTGAACTAAAATCAAACTATGATTTAGAAAGAATTGAATGCTTATTATTCGAGTGAGAACACGAATTAAATATTGAATATTTTTTATGGCTCACTTATATATATATTTAAAAAAATACAGTTTTGAAGTAAATGGTATAGCCTGTGAAATTGTCAATAAAAACAGAATTATTGGAACTTGGAATATTGGATTAAGATGTAGATTTTAAAGATGAATGATAGTTTCAGATTGTTGAGGTGCTTTTGTGAAAGCCAATCTTTTGCATAATTTGAGTAAAATTATTTGTAGTATAAAGAAAGCATAAAACGTTTAAGAATCATTTTATCTGAAATATAAAGTACACGGTTCATTTGATGAAACACAACTTAGCTCCAATACGCATTGCCTAACGAAAAGCCCAGATTCTAAATCAAGTTATATGTCTTTTTTTACGATTTTGAAAACATGCTAGTCAAAGAAGTTTCATATTGATAAAAAAAATTGCATTTAATGAAACATATAAAAAATAAGAAGCATTATTCACATAAAAAAAAAACAATTATAAGATCGCGATTTCATGAATGTTTTTATTTTTTTCTTATTTACAGCGTATTTACAATTTAAATGAACAAAAAGATCACAAGGAAATCGAAATAATTCTAGAAATAATATAATATATAAAACAACATACCCAGTTTCTAATCCATATGCATTAACGATCCGTCGCTGATATGTTAACGTTTACATGCTAATGTCTCGTCCATACCAATCTTGTTTCTTTTCTTCCAATGAAACAACCTGTGAATGAAATGATTTACTGAGTCACAGTCAACAAAGTAACCGAATCGACAAAATTAGCCAGTTGACGAAATTATACTTTGACAAAACGACCGTGTTGAACGAAGTGACTCATTACGCTTCGTATTGGTTTATTGGAATAAAATATATTTGCATGCTTGTGTGATCAATTTAGGCTTTTAAACTTTTGTCAGATAGAAGGACAGATAGCACAATACAGTTGGTGCTGTTGTTGGAGTTCATTTAAGAAGCATTAGAGCTGCACAATGGGCTATTGGCGACGGTCTGGAAAACATCCCCAAGGATGATCCGAAGACATGCCATCACAATTTTGATCCTCTGCAGAGGGGCTGGCACCCCCGCTTTGGTAGCCCAACGACCTGCACGCGAAGTCGAGCACTTTACGGTAGCACAGTTTAACGAGGACCAATATCGGACACCCTCGGTCCCTACGCAGACTGATCCAAGTGGTCACCCACCCGCACACTGATAGCAGCCAGTGATGCTTGACTTCGGTGATCTTCTCGGAACCGTGTCCTAACGATCAGTCCACTGCGCGACCACTATTATTTGATCAATTTTTTTAACCCACTGCCTTTTGTTAAAACTTGAAGCCACTATCCATTTATTCTAACTCATTCTCTATTGTTTAAAACTTGAAGCCACAATCTTTACATCGGTACTTGAATCCACTATCATTTGATTAATTTTCATTATCCACTCTCTCTTTTGTTTAAACTATGTATTGGTACTCGAACCCACAATCACAAGATCATTTTTTATTTTTTAAACCTTTCTATTTCAAATCGACTATTTGAACAGAATTCAAACCCACTATTATTTGATCAATTTTTATAACGTACTGCCTCTTGTTAAAAGTTGAAGCCACAATCTTTACATCGGTACTTGAATCCACTATCATTTGATTAATGTTCATTATCCACTCTCACTTTTGTTTAAAACTTGAGCCCACTATCTATGCATTGGTTCTCGAACCCACAATCACATGATCATCTTTTATATTTTAAACCCTTCTATTTCAATTCGCCTATTTGAACAGAATTCGAACCCACTATTATTTGATCAATTTTTATAACCCACCTCCTTTTGTTAAAACTTGAAGCCACTATCGTCCCGTAGTGGACTGATCGTTAAGACACGGTTCCCAGCAGATCACCGAAGTCAAGCATCACTGGCTGCGGTCAGTGTGCGGGTGGGTGACCACTTGGATCAGTTTGCGTAGGTACCGAGGGAGTGCGGTATTTGTCCTCGTTAAACTGAGCTACCGTAAAGTGCTCGACTTCGCGCGCAGATCGTCGGACTACCGAAGCGGGGGTGCCATCCCCTCCGCAGAGGATCAAAATTGTGATGGCATGTCTTCGAATCATCCTCCGGGATGTTTCCCAGACCGTCGCCAATAGCCCATTGTGCAGCTCTAGTTCGACGTAAATTAACAACAACAACAAGCCAGCATCCATTTATTTCCATTTTTTCTAACTCATTCTCTAATGTTTAAAACTTGAACCCACAATCTTTACATCGGTACTTGAATCCACTATCATTTGATTAATTTTCATTATCCACTCTCACTTTTGTTTAAAACTTGAGCCCACTATCTATGCATTGGTTCTCGAACCCGCAGTCACATGATCATCTTTTATATTTTAAACCCCTCTTTTTCAATTCGCCTATTTGAACAGAATTCGATTATTTGATCAATTTTTATAACCCACTGCCTTTTGTTAAAAATTGAAGCCACTATCAATTTATTTCCAGTTTTTCTAACTCATTCTCTATTGTTTAAAACTTGAACCCACAATCTTCACATCGGCACTTGAATCCACTACCATTTGATTAATTTTCATTATCCACTCTCTCTTGTGTTTAAAACTTGAGTCCACTATCTATGCATTGGTTCTCGAACCCACAATCACATGATCATTTTTTATATTTTAAACCCTTCTTTTTCAATTCGCCTATTTGAACAGAATTCGAACCCAATATTACTTGATCAATTTTTATAACCCACTGCCTTTAGTTAAAACTTGAAGCCACTATCCATTTATTCTAATTAATTCTCTATTGTTTAAAACTTGAAGCCACAATCTTTACATCGGTACTTGAATCCACTATCATTTGATTAATTTTCATTATCCACTCTCTCTTTTGTTTAAAACTATGCATTGGTACTCGAACCCACAATCACATGATCATTTTTGAAACCTTTCTATTTCAAATCGACTATTTAAACAGAATTCAAACCCACTATTATTTGATCAATTTTTATAACCCACTGCCTTTTTTTTAAAACTTAAAGCCACAATTTTTACATCGGTACTTGAATCCACTATCATTTGATTAATGTTCATTATCCACTCTCACTTTTGTTTAAAACTTGAGCCCACTATCTATGCATTGGTACTCGAACCCACAATCACATGATCATTTTTTTATATTTTAAACCTTTCTATTTCAATTCGATTATTTGAACAAAATTCGAACACACTATTATTTGAATACTTTTCTGAGCAACGCCCTCCTCCCTATTTTTTTTTTCAATATTCGTTCCCACTATCTTCTTATGGATACTCTAATAGGATATCATTTGAAGAGTTTTCAAGCCCACTCTCTTTTGAACAATTCTCCAACCCACTATCTTCTTATGGGTACTTGAACCCGCTATCATGTAATCAGTACTCGCACTGTTATTTTTTATCGGTACTTGAAACCACTTATTATTGCCGGTTCTCGATCTAGCTATCATTTGTTCATTACTGGATTCTATTATTAGTTGAATTCACAATTGTTATTTATATTTATACGTACGTGTTTACATTCTTACGAGCATATGTACATAAAACGTACGTATGTATCCCTATACATACATACAATATACGTTTTAATCTATGTTGTACGTATATACAATTTAGGTGTATATTTATGAACTGACATTCATTATACGCAAACACAAAAATTTCCTTTTATTTTTCAAGGAATGTTTGACGAAGTTACAATTTATGTGAAAATTGTTTCACTAATTCATTTATTATACAACATATGTTTCATTATCATTGGCAAATTATTTTATACCCATAATATTTTTTTTTATGTATTTATAAAGCACTTAATTTGATTATGGAGTATCTCTTTTGTACGAATTCCATTGTCATTTACTAATTGTTATTATAACTTTAACATTTATTTGTTACGTTTGAACAAAATATGTTAATAAACAAACAGTACCGTTTACCAATAGTGTAAAAGGAAGAATAAACTAATGATAAATAAAAAGAGGAAATTCTTCTCCTCCCCCCCCCCAACTCCTTTAGTGGTGGGGGGGACAGGAGGGTGGAAGAACTACCCCTAAATATTGATTTTTTCCTTTATACACAGGAATTACACCAAACCTTGGGGGACTGGTTTACATTATGAATACGAAAGCTAGCCTTCCTCCCCTCTGCATAATTTGTCCAAAGTACGAACTCCCCAAATCATTTGTCTGGACGGTGACTATGGGGAAGAGGTAACACTACTTCAAGTAGGGGTGTGGGGTTATTATGTTAGGCTAGGGTCAGCAAGAGAAAGGAAAATCTTTTTCTTGGATCTATTGTGTTAACTCTAGAGTGAGGAGAAGCTACCCTCTCTGAAATGAGCTATTCTTGTTTCCATAGCAGCAGACGGCCTCAGACTTTGTGGTGGGGGGAGTTCTTACCATAGACAAACTATACAGGAGGTTGCTATATAGTGGTGGTCTTCTTTGGAGGTTTCACTATATTCGGAGATTATTAAAACTGTATCGATACTGTGAAAATAGGTGGCCCCTCGAAAGGGATACGTAGCGGAGACATAATTTTGACTACCACAAGTTGGCATCGAGCAGTAACAACGTGGATAGAGCTCTATTCTGATCGGATGAATGACAAAAAACATGTTTTGCTTTGTTTTATAACGTAAAACCATTGGAAAGGGCCACAAATATTAATAAATAATTAAAGCTATTTTAGCTTTATTATGTCGGCATAAGTATTTCAGTTTTGTTCAAAATTTCGTAGTGTTCATCAGTACTGATATATTTTTCTAATTTTTCCTCCCATATGAAGTATGAGTATTCAGCAATTTATTTTACAAATGTAATAGAGCAATTTTTATAAAATATTTACTTTTTAAAAACGTTTCAATTTTGTGAAAGCTATAGAGCATATCACATGTTTACCTCATAAATACTATCAGTAATTTTTAACTTTAAAAATTAATTTTTTAAAGAAAATTTAAAAATATAACAGTCCAGATTATTACATGTGGTTATATATATTATTACAACGTCTATTTATACCAGACGAATGGGAAAGTGCACAATTGCGCCTCATTGTAATGGTAATAAAAGTCCACCACAAAGGCAAATTTCTCCCAACACTTGATCACAATTTGTTGCATCTTTAATTATAACTCAGGATTCGAGAAGCTATAATTTATTCGAATTTTTAAAAAAAAAATACATTAAAACTTTTTTTTCTTTCTTCGAAATATCAAATTTCTCACACAGCATCGCTCTCTTAACACTATCTGTTGTTCATGTCAATGCATGGATAGGAACGGAACATGTTACTTTAGTAATGAATTAAAGAAAAGAAAGAAAAAAACTAAACATTTAATTTCACAAAATTTAATTTTATTTTCGAAACAATGTACTTAAATGAAAAGCTACTAAAATGCAATATTTAAGCATACAAGAAATAAATATTCAATGAATATAATGCACATTCCATCATAACAAAAATTTAAATAAACATTGCACCAGTAGAGTAACAAATTAAAAAGAGAACAGGAATTAAACTTTTGTTCTTGTGTTTACATAACATTCATAAATAATTATATCCTAACAGTATTAGTATTAGATTCGATAAATTAACAATATGTATAAATTATATGAGGAACAACACTCTTTCTGCAAAAGACAAACAGTTTTTTCACATTATATACCCGTAATGTTAACAAAGCACCATAAAATCTGCCCTCTAACCAGCAGATAAGCAAAAGCATATGATTATCATAAATTAATGAAAAATAACAAAAATAGCTCTTAAAAAAATCTGAATGAAATTTGCTTATAATGTCAAATAAGAGTTGCTAGAGAGACTCCGTTCTGAAGGCACTTTTTCTATTCGAACCTGACACATTCATTTCATACACATGCTGATTCGGTGAGCAGTCAAATCTTTCAACAAAAAAAAGCACCTTTTAAGTACTTTTCAGGCACTAAAAAAAATTTGAGCACTACATACATTAACAAATAATTTTCAAAAGACTATATATGATCATGAGTATCTCCCAGCTCAGTATATATCACATGGGGACTCACAAGTATTTCATGTAGACATGTAAAATGATTGGCGCTTTCGTAGGCTAAAGACTGACGGTACTCCGAAATGCATTGTGTTTTAATGAATTGTGAAAATCCTGAGCAGAACAATGTGAAAACTACTCTTTCGCATAATACGCGGTGAAAACAACAAGGTAAAGAAAAACTCATTTTCGAAAAGGGAAAATAAAGTACTTTTTTTAAAAACACCCAATAAAGAAAGCACCTTTAAGGGCTTTTAAAAAACAAGCATAAGCACCTTTAAGCACTTTTTAAAAACACACGAAGCGCTACGCACCGTAATTGTTGGATTAATTTATATGATATTTCATACATTATGTGCACAACTTTCATTAAATTCTAACATAACTTTTTGAGTTATGCTCATTTTTTCATTAATTTATGATAACTAATGTTACAATTAATCACAAGCACACATAACACATTTTACAAAATAGCTCTCATTGATTGAAGACTAAAGCTAAAAATAGTGTTTCACACTAAACGTGCTGATCAACAAAAAAAAAATATTTTTTTTTTAAATCACTTTTGTCTGATACTTATTTTAATTTAAGTCGATACTTTTAATTTAAGTTCAGTAATAAAGTGAATGTGTTTTATAATAAAGTGAAGTTTGATTTGCAAATCAGTTTCTCCTTAATTAGTTTCATTATTGACATCATTCAGTTAATCAAATACAGATATGAGATAGGAAGTTATCACAAACGTAAATATTCAGCTTATCAAATATAAATTTGAAGGGAATTATAAGATTTTGATTTGTGGTTCAGAGACTTTGCTTAGATAAATAGTACAGAAGTATTTTTCAATAAAATTTAAGAACTCTGTTTCAAATCTGATGCTAAGCCCAACTGAAGTTAACAAAAAAACTTTATTTAGTAAGTTTACAAAACTTAGAAACAATTGCAGTTTGTTCAAAAGTTATTTTCTGCAAGTATATTAATTTATTTTTTGTTACTTGCGATGTGACTTAATTTTAAGAATTTTTTATGATAATTATATTTGAACAAATATATAACAAATGTGTGTAAAGTGGTGGAACGTTAAAAAAAAATGTAGTTCACTGCTTAAAAGAAAAAAATAGATTTAATATCTGTATGACAGTCTAGTACACTTGATTTCACCAGCTGTAATCAAAATCAAACTAAAAATTCTTTAAGATTTCAAATTTTATTTTTCTAGTTTTACATTTTTATATTTCATGATAGAGCCCACTTACAGTTTTTTTCTCTCTTAAGACTGGTAAAAATTGATTTTAAAGTTTCTTAATACTTCTTCTAAAAGAATTTGATTATGACAATAAGATTAGAATATTAAACTTTTGTCAATAATAATTTTAGATGTATGTTTGCTTCTATCTATTTTTTAAAATTTTTATTTGAATTGTTAAAAATAGTTTGTTAATTTAAAAATCTTTCAGCAATGGCTAGATGAAATAAAATTAGCATATATTTTCTTTTTCTGAAAATATTTAAAAAAAACTTTTAAGTTAAATAAAAATGAATAATATTTATAATTTTCTTTTATGTCTGTTCAAGAGATAACAATTAAAATAAATAGTTACCAAAATTTGTCCTTAAAATGAAGCAAAGATTAAATTATTTAACCCTTTGCCGCGTTGGACTTGGACTGAGGATATCTTCATCGTAAGAAAAGTCAGGCACTTAATTGTTGATTTAGAGAACTTTTTGAGATCACTGCAATTGTCTAGGATTATGAATAATTTATTCATTAAAATAAAAAGAGATTCTACTGGATTTTCAAATATTTTACACACATGCTACTCAAATTATGAAGAAAATAAAGTTATTTTCATGGGGGAAATAAAAACTTATTTGCTGAAAACTTAAGGACTAAATTTACTGAATTCCTTAAAAATACTGAAAAATCTTGTATTTGTTTAAATCATTAAAATTAAAGAAATTTCTAAAACATTTTAAACAAATGCAAAGTACACTACTAAACTTATAGTTCTTTACATACTTATATCAGTGTAACACACTAAGATAATAAACTTGAGGCTTAAAGTAATTATCATCGTCAGGGTTGCTTTTCATCTTTCAAATGCACGTCATTGGATCTGTAGAAAACAATTAAGCTCATCATTCATAACAGCTTCCCTGGAAGAAGAAAAAACAAATCACCAAAAATGAAAAATATGCAAAAGGTTTTACGTAACAAATTGTAAGAAAAATGGTTTTTGTAACAAATTTGAGTTTCTAAAAAATAGCCTTGTAAGAAACCACATTGCCTGCAAACAATTTACTTAAATATTACTAATTTATTTTAAAATAAATGTACGTTACGTAATGTACATTAATAAAATTATTATGTACATTAATAAAATTATTATATTAAAAAATTATTCTGTAAATGTATGTTAATAAAATTATTAGAATTTTATTAACGAGTTTACAAGAATTCCTACCAAAAGCAGTTTAATGAGAGACTGTGGTTAAAACAGTTATGAGCTCAACTCAAAAATCCTGAAAATTTCTTGAGTAAGATCATGAATGACGAATTTAAAAAAAAAAATGTCTTTACAAATATAAATCATTAATATTTTCAAAACATGAAATTCTAAATAAATTACATGCAGCATAATTTAAATGAAAAATTATGCATAGGTTTACTTTTAACTCTAATCCCCAGTAATATTGTACCAGAAAGAATATTTACAAATGAAAGAGATGCCAAGTATAAATTATAGTTCTAATATTTCTAAATAAAATTTATAAGAATTTTAATACATAAATGTGATCGATGATTTCTTGGAACTTCTGGACCTTGGATTTCCAGAAACTTCTCGCATCGCGTTTAGCGAAAAATCTGGAAATTAGAATTTTTTCCTAAGCACAAATTAATTATTCAATTTCTCTGTTAAAATAATTATTCAAAGAGAGCATCTTCTCTCCTGAAGAAATTAATAGAGTTAATTTAGTTTGGTTCACATAAACCAGAATTTCATTATTTACACATAAGAAAAGTTTAGATTACATCTCTATTTTTTTCAGCAACAAGTAAACTGCAAAAATTACTTGGACTCTTAACAGATATTAAATAGGATCGTAAACATTTTTTAAATTACAAGAATGATAATTGCAGATGTTCATATTATTGTTTATATTTGTGAAGCAGCATCATGCTAGCTTGCTTATTTCTATTGAGATGTGTTGACGTTTCTTAGGAAACCACGTAATTCAGCACGTCTGTGTTTCTTCACCTTTACGTCCATTTGTAAGATAGTCATCATATTTAGTTTGAAATAACTGTTTGTTTGAATTGCAGCAAGGATGTCTTTATTCCTTCTTCAACACTCTGCTCAAATAATTCTGCATTAGCCCAACAGTATTCAAGCGTTTTCACACTTGTTTGTCGACCAACACTACCAGTTTTTCGTATAGTTTTAAGTGTTTATTTTGCTGTACACATGTTAGATCAAAATCACTTTTTACAATAGTCTGTCAAACTGTTGCAGACAGATTTGTGCTGCAGATTGGCAGTAAATACAAATACATGGTGCAGAGCATAAATACTTACTTAGTCTTCATCCACAGCAAAAACTTCTGAGCTTTCATACAGTTTGGATGATTCTCTTGAGGCCACACTCTGAAATAGAAAATGTTCCATAAGAAAATGTAGATTTTTCTTGCCCTTTGAATTCTAAAAATTTGAATTTCTTAGAATTGAACATTTGCTTTGTACGATAAAAGTCTGCCGAGGGTGCAGGATATGTCTGATCATACAAATGAGAAGTGGGAGAAATTGAAGCAGTTCTGGGGAAGTCTCATTTTAATGGAATGGAAAATTATCCGCTAGAAAAAATCATACAAGAAATAATGAGGGGTTCCTTGATGAACTAAAACGTTTTGCTGCTGTACATCCTTTCTTTTCACACGTGACAACCAAGAAACAATGAATTGTATTTTAATTTCAAAATCTATAATGTTAAGTGTAATACAAATAACTTTGAGTGGGAACTTAAATTTAGTTTTATAAACTACATTTCCATTTAATTCATAGGATTCCATTTGATAGGAATTATATTTCTTTATTCAAGGTGGATAACCAGATTTTTCAACAAAAAAGCACCTTTTAAGTACTTTTTAAGCACTCAAAGAATATTTTTTTAATCAGCTTCCAAAAAAAAAATCGTAAATAGGATCTGTGCAGTAATAAAAATTATTATTTTCTATCATTTAAAATTCTTAATTTATAAACATAAAATCAATAAAATTCAAAAGCATTTTCAAAAGCTTTACATAATCATGATAAAATAACTAATTGCTGATGAATATTTCAGAGAAAATTTTGAAAATCATGCATTTTTTGTAATTTATGAGTATAATCGACACACAAAGAAAAATTCTCGTTTTAAAAGCTAGAAAATTATGCACTTTTTACAAATCCCTCCAAAAGCACCTTTAAGGGCTTTTAAAAAACATAAATAAAAAAATAAACACCTTTAAGCACTTTTTAAAAACGCTAGGCACCCTGTTCAGTTATTCAACAAGGAGGATACAAAAGGTAAGAAAACATGTATTAATTTAATGAAGGAACACATAATTTAAATACTGTACATAATGCTTTTCATGTTTAGCTATAAAAAATGTTGGGAGTGCTGTTGATTTTTCAGAGAATATATTTCCTTCCAGAAAAAGAGGATCTTCAAAAAGAAATGGTGAATATTCAAAAATATTACAATATATATGGCCACAGTTGTTACTATAAAAGAATCCTGCATCTTTTGCCTCCTTTAAAACATTGAATTAGATTAGTCAATAGAGTTAGATGAATACTTATTGCCCTCACATGTACCCAATATGCTTATTCATCATCATAGTTGGCCAGACAGCCCAATGTGGGCCAATGCCTTCCTCTGAAGATTTCTCCATATGGACCTCCGATGTATCTTTGATCTCCAATTCTTTTAATTCATTGCAAGAAAACCAGACACCGCCGAGTCAGCCCATCTCAACCGTGGCCTTCAAACGCTTTCTTGTTCCAGTGGGTCTAAAAAGCATAATATTTTTTATTGTATTGTCATCACTCATTTAAATCAAGTGGGCCATCCAATTCATTCTATTTATTTTTATGTATTTAATAATATCGGGTTGGTTATAACTCTTGTATAGTTCAAAGTTAAATCTCCTTCTCCTGTTATTGTTTTCATTTACATCGCCAACTATGCTCCGCAAAATCTTTCTCGTAAATATTGTGATATAATTTCCCTCCCATTTTGTCAATGTCTAAGCTTCAGAAGCGCATGCCAAGACTGGCTTGACAAGAGTTTTGTAAATTAAAAATTTGCTTTTCAAGAAAGAAACCTAGATTTAATAAATCTCTTCAGTCCATAGGCAGCCCTATTTGCCAGACAGAGTCTGTTTTTTTTATTTCAGGAGGCATTCTGTTATCAATAGTAATAATTGATCCTAAGTAAGTAAAACTCCTTACTGTTTCAAATCTATAAGAATCTATTTCAAGATAGAGGTCTGGGACTCTGTTTCTTGAGAATAACATATGTTTTATTTTATCAGCATTTATGCAAAATGTTTATTAAAGGAAATATAATTTAAAAATAGTAATAAAAGATAATCATCTGATACCTAAGTATGTATTATTTAAGCTTTTCATTAAAGAATTTTTAATTATGTGCCAGAGTGTGATTGGCACGACAAATCACATTTTTTCTTCAAATGCATCTATACAAAGTTTAATAAATAAATTTAATCATTTGAGAGAAACTTACTTCCCCACTGCTGTTCACAAGAGTTGTAAGAAGAGAATCAGATAAACACCAAGATTGATTTTTCATGACTAAATCTTTTGGGGGACTTGGAGAAGTGCCACTATCAGAACTCCACACCTAAATGATATTATATAGTATATATATATATATATACAGCAGAATAGTGTTGCTGAAGCAACATTAAACCAAACAAAAAAGTACTAAAAATATATTTTTCAATAAATCCTCACAATGAAAATATACACACACAGCTGCCAACACTGATAGAAAAAATCCAGTAGATTTTACAAAACAATATAAATTTAATAATGTTTAGCAATAAATGTACTAAATATTTTACACATAGGAAATTTTAGGGATTCTAATAGTCATCAAAATAGAAAAATTGCAATATTTTTCAGTTATGATTGACATTAAATGAACTTTAAATGTTATGTATTATGCTTACTCATAATTTTGAATTAATTCATCAAAGATAGTTTAAAAAAATATTTAATTTTAAAAGAAAGTTCTGAATGAAAATTAACTGAACATTTTAAACTAATATTTATAAGCGAGGTTCGCTTCATTATGTATTAGTAACAATTATTTAAATACTCAAGCAAGCAATAATGTGTGCAAAATTTCTATTCCAACAAGGAGTTTTTCAGGAAACTTACCTAATTTTCGGGAATTTTCTAAAATATACTAAAACAAGGAGAATTTTTATGAAACCAGTAGACCAGGAGAAACTGGCAAAACCAGTAGAGTTGACAGCCATGTACACATATACTATATTTTTAAGTCATAACGAGATTTCAAGCACATTCTTTCTTTTAATTTTGTTTGAGGCTGTTCCTTTAATTTACAATTATGATTTTAGTCATTCTTGCTTACCTCATTTATAATTACAGTAGAGTCTCGATAATTCAAGGTGGATGGAATGGAAATTACCCTGATCTATGGAAATCTTGAATTACCAAAAACTTAAAATTCCAGAAATAAATAAATGGAAAAAAAGCAAATTTTTAAATTTTAGTATTTAATTGAAAATTACATAATATTTAAAGAAAATTTAGTGACATTAGATGATCAGGGAACATTCATTGCAGTACACCAAGTTACAATATTCATTACCGTATATTCCCAAGGAGCATTCCAAGGAGCCAAGGAGTATAACACGCACCCGTAATTTCCAATAACTTTTTTTAAATTTTAAGATATACTCTTCGTATAACGAGCAAGAAAATTTGGATTGTACATGTGCAATATCACGTCTAGTATCTATAGAAAACCAGAAAGCCTTTTTGTGTGGGACATATTTTGGTCCCACCTTACAGATAATACAAAAAAAATTGTTGAAAGTATGTAACACCGATATGGCAGTTATTCCGGGCGGATTGACACCATTAGTTCAGCCACTGGACGTCTGCTTAAGCAAACCATTTAAAGCCAATTTAAAAAAAACAGTGGAACACTTGGATGTTGGAGGACGAGAAAACCTTTATGAAACGAGGACATATGCGTCATGCAAGTTTGGAAACAGTGTGCGAATGGATATTAAAAGTATGGGATGAAATTAAGCCTGAGATGGTTAGAAAATCATTCAAAAAATGCAGCATTTCAAACAATCTGGACGGATCAGAAGATGACTGTTTATTTATGGATGAGGGTAACACAGTAGGGCTGGGCAATGTCAGAATTTCGATATTGTGGTATATTGTGAGCTTCATATCACGATATTATGATATACCGCGGTAATTAAATTGTTATGTATATTATAAATGCTAAGACTATTTTGCAATTAAAAATTAATGTGTTTAAAGAGCATCATTTAAAAAAAATGGGGTACTTATCCTATATTAGCTCGCAGCATAATTATCCCATGGAATCAACTAATTATAAAGCATCATTATTTTAAAACAGAAAAATTTTATTAATATAAACATCAATTACTAATATAAACATCAACACAATTATAAACATCAAAACAGTTATAAACATCAACACAATTATAAACATCAACAATTATAAATATCAACACAATTATAAACATCACAAGGAGATCCGACAATCTCGGATATTTTTAAAATCAGAAGCACGCTATTCTCAAAATGAAACCAAAATCAGTAACTAAGTATACCATGGAGGGTTGATATAACGCGCGGGTGTTTGAAATCCGATATCGCCAATACCACGGATATGACGCATGCGCTTTAAAGTCAAATGATACCACAATATATTGTAGGAGAAATTTCTAGCTGCCGAGAGGAGGTACCGTAAATATTACGCGCAAGCCTTTGAGTTCTTCACCCCTAAATCAATCACGTGCCATACCAATACCTCCTAGATACCATACCATACCGCCACTTCCTCGCCGCCGGTCGGCCGAAGATATTGGCTAGCGGTGAGTACCGAGAGGTGCAGGCATACCGAAGTTCAATAACTCGGTATTGCCGAAGAATATACTTCCGAATATCATTACCGCGGTATCAAAGAAATACCGGTAAATGACGGTATTACGGTATATTGCCCAGGCCTACTNGATATTGGATTTTTAAGCCTCGTAAATAAGAATCGCAATGTACGACATTTAAATCGCCTGATTAAGAATTGCAACGTTCAACTTTTAAATCAGGTAAATACGAAAGTCAATGTTTGAGGGAGGAATGAGGACTTCAATACTTTCCCTTCGCGGAAAATTTAATTCCTCATAAAATATTTTAACTTGCGCAAAAAAAAAATTTAGTGGAAATTAACGGAAAAAATTGAAAAATCTGAAAAAAAGCGGAAATCCGCGAATCCGAGGAAGAATCACATCCCTGATTAATTCATTAGTTTTAGTTTTAGATGGGGGAAATTTCTTTTATTATTTAATAAAAAGCAAGTAAAATAAAATTTCATTTTTGACCTAAGTTAAAGTAGGAATCGACATTAAAAAAATTTTTTTACATTACTTGTTTAAAAGACAAAAATGAGAAACAAAATTCCCTGTATTTTCTTAATTTGTAAAGAAGAAGAAAATCAAAATTCCCTGTATTTTCGAGGTTTTCCCTGTGGGGTGGACACCCCGATTATTATATTACAAAAAACGAAGCTGCACTATTCACTTTATTTTCTCTCAATTGTAATTGTAAAAAAAGTGAAACGTCTTCTGATTCACATAGTGTTGAGCTTAATATCAGAGTTTGAATGTGCAGTACAATATTCTTCCTCAAAAATTACACATTTTAAATAAAAATATGCTGCAGTACAACTTAAATAAGTTAAATAACAATTTAAAATTTCAAAATCATTTTAAGACTAAGATAAAATGTTGAAACAGTTTTATAACCTTAAAAATAGAAGAATATTAAAAACATAATATAAAAACAAATTTCAATGTGGTCTGTTTATGCCTAACAAAATAGCAATTTAGAAGCAAGATTGAAAAAATAAAAAATTGTACATTTGATGATCAGCATGATTGGACCTAAAAACAATCGAACTCGACAAACATTAATGTACATGAAAAGTTACTTAGAATTCATGCGAGTGTTAAACACTTTCTCTCAATTTACTCTAATTTATCATGTATAGATACAAAAAAAAAGCTTTTAGTTTATTATAGGAGGTTCCATCAGAAACAGTTATGACTAATTGCAAAACAAGAGACTCGATGAAAGATATCCTGTAATTGTGAGGAATGGAAGATTTTTTTTTTATCCATTTTGAATCCATAAAATTGAATTTTAGCCCATGAAATATTTTACATAAATTACATATCATGAAATAAGGTAACAGTTTCTTGATATGAGATGTAAATTAAGTCATGGCAGTAGCAAAATATTTTTAAATTTGCAGCTGTAACATAATTACTAAACTCATAGGAAAAGCTATTAAGCAAACTCTAATTTGAAAAGAACATATTAGTGGTTATTTTGCAATAATATGTTTATTAGCAAGTATTAATTAATCTGAAATCAAATTGTCCTATTTAAAAAGTATATTTAATTATATTCCTTTTACTGAAAATGTTAAAAATATAGATTTTCTAAGAACCTAAAAATTTAATTGAAAAATGATACTTATTTAACCAGCAAAGTAATTTTTTAAAAAAGAATGAGACCTACGCATTTGGTGAATTTATAATGAAAACTTGCTAATTTTAACTGGCATATCAATACAAAAAATATTTGTTATAGTATGTAAAAGATATCTTACAGTGACGGTGGTATTGGGTTTAATGACAGCTGCTCTTGGAAATTTATACGTCACTTCAGCTCCTTCACTTTTTTGAACCAACTGCCAACTACCCAGAGACAACTCCTAATAAGAATAAAATTTTTGTTGAAATTATCTCTATTTTCTGCTTAAAAAGGTAAAATACTTTTACACCAACCACTTAACACATAGTAAGCCAACTATCCAACTGGCTATAACACAGAAATATAGTAAATAGAAATTATCGTTAATGAATGCAATTTAAATTATCACTGTTTTTAAGTGTATACATTACTTAATTATCTCTCTCTCTGTCCCTATATATATATACAGGGGTCTGTCTAGGTTTTTCTGAAAGGTACCTATTTTGTGAAAATTTTGACATAATTTGTGAAAAATTAAAAATTATATTAAAAAGTCAACACAAAAACATGGTAAAAATATAGATTTATCGTTTCTTAAGGGATACAAAAATAAAATTTTAAGAAAAAGTACTTTGTGAAACTACCGTTCTTCCAAAGTTGAATTTGTGAAACTACCGTTTTACCTAAAATTGAATTTGTGAAGGTACCGCTAAACGGTAGTAAATTCGGCCTGGACAGATCCCTGATATATATATATATATATACAAAATTATGCATGAATTTTACTATTAAATAAAAAGTAACACTTAGGTAAAAATGCCAAATTAAAAAAAAAAAATCTAAAATTTCATACTTCATCATAAAATCATCAAAAAATAAATTCATTACTCCAAATCATTTTTTCAGTTTTAGTAAAATTTTAAATTCATTTCCATTGTCTTTTTGAAAATAATTTGGTGAAAAATGGGAAAATGAGGTAGTGTTCTTTGCTTTCATTTCTTTTCACTTCCTGTTCCTATCAAAACGAAGAAAAATATTGTAGATTGGCTGTAACAAAATTCCAAGACTCTTAATTGTTAAGGATAAAAAATTCATTTTAAACAGATTATTAAGAAAATTCTTAAAAGCCTAATTTTTATTACTCAATAGTAACACCATTGTATTTTATATGAAATGATGAATTAATAATCCAGATATTTTAATTAAATAACATATTTTAATTAACTAACTACATCAGAAATCTATATAAAATCAATAACAGCAAAACATTTCATTTTGCATATGAAGAATAAAAAAATTACTTGCCTGCTTTCCTTTGTTATGAATTTTTACAAATTTTCCATTGACGTCATGATCAGAAATTTCAATATCACCAGACGATGTTTGAACATCTGACTTTTCAGATTCGGCAAACATTCGCCTGCGTTTGACACCCCTCATGGGATTGGACCTAGGCTGAAGAGGGGATGGACTGCTGCCCCGTGAGTTTGTAGGGCTAATATTAAGCCTGAAAATCATATATTACAGATTTAGTTAACGTGCAGTTTATTCCACATTTTATAAACCAGGTATAGAAATTAAATTGCGCAAAGTTAAACACAGGAAAATCAACAATAGATAAAAATGTTTTAAAACAGGCAGCTGGCCCTTATCACCGGCTTCCGCGTGGTTGTGAGAAATTAAAACTACGTTCAGAATATCTGCTACATTTTAGATTTCCACATCCAAGATTTTCCATGACTAATTCCGAGAACTTTTCATGACTTAATGAAATTACTATTTTCTCCAACAAAAACACCACAATAAATTTAAAAAAGCATTATAATAATATTAATTGAAATGATAGGTATAACCAAAACTGATATACTCTGCATCTTCATATTTATAGCTCTTCAATTTAAAAAATAGAGTAAAGAAAGAGTTGAATCAATAAAATATCTGAAAAAAATACTAAAGCAAATAATTTCGTTTTTCATTTTTCTGTAGAATTATATTCTAAAGATACTTTTCTTATTCATCAGAAAGGAAAGAAATACTCCTGAATTTTCAGTTCTTATTTCAGAATAATAAAAATTCGCCAATGACAGTTCAGCTGGAATTTCAAATCGATAAAATAAATAATAATAATAAAAATTCTGAAATCAGAGAACTTTAAAAGATACTTCGCCCTAGTAGTAATGATTTTTTTTCTTTCCTTTTTTGAAAGAAAACCATAATTTATAAAGAACATGATAAAGATATTTTATATTTCAATAAAATATGGCTGTGAGTGGGGATTTTGTTACAAATTCAGATAATCGGAACACCATGAAATGGGGCGGAGGTTTAAAAATTAGATTTTTTGGTGACCTAAATCCATGACTTTCCAAGATTGTTTTAAAAAAATAGTTGAAATCATGACAAATTTTGTTCAATACTGAAATTCATAATTTTCCATGACTTTTCAGGAGCTAGATACCCTGTAGGTTCCTCAACTAAGTTTTAACAAAATTAAAAATGAATTTGTTGAAAAAGAACATACAAATTGCTACACATAATCAAGACAAGAGAATGAACTCCATTTCTTGAAAAATCTTACATGACAGTAGTATTAGAAAGAGAGCAAGTCTCCGCTTTTAAACATCGAGATCCGACATCATCCACCAATCACAAACTGCTGATCATCTTGCACAAGTAGGTGAAAAGTTGAGTAAAAACTGTCCTCTCCTGTGAGGAAAACACTGTCATTGTGGTTCGGTTGCAACTCCCGGTGAAAACTCTACATCGAACTTTTATGAAGTCATCCCATGACACAACTAGAGTTAAACAATGAGCACAGATTTGGTTGATTTGATGCAACCATCCTATTACATTTGTAGCAATGATTAGTAACGTGATTAATTTTTCTTCATAATTTAGGTTATCACTTCACAAATTTCCGCTACTGATTAGCCAATCAGTGGATATGCGGGTTCTTTCATTTTCAACTTCTTATTCTTAAATTTATAAGATAAAATAACACCTCTTTAAAAAACCAGGACACATTAACCTTCAATAATTTTTTTTAAAACAAAACTAATAAGCTTGTATGCAAAATGGAGGTAAAAACTACAGAATCCTTTTATGGATAGTTTGATGGAAATGGAACTCAAATTTGCTTTTACCAAATTATTATTTTTTGTTTAGGAAAAAAAATAAAACCCAGTAACAAGGCAGTTTCCTTGTAACAAAAAGATTCATAAAATATTGCGTTAGTATTTCCTATCGCGCTTTTCAAACCATAATAAAATAATTCTTTAATGAGGAAATATGTTTCCATTACAACCATTTTCATCAGCAGTTTTCATTTTGAAGTAAACCACAATTCGGTTTATTTTATTCATTTTCAGCTTAAGTATATACACCGAAAACAAATTCATAAGTAGAACAAATAGAACAGATAGAATAGACAGATCAATATAGGACAAAGACTGCAGAATTAGCGGTCGGAAATAAAACCTAATTTAAGATTATTATTGATAAAATGATGAAAAATCTACTTTCCTCTAATCAAATATTTTTTAAATAGTTTTTTATTGGTTAAAACCATTCACAATTACCTTAATAAACTTTATTCGTAAAGTCTGAGTTCCGCCGAAAGAAGGTTGATTATTTAGGGTTCCAGAACTGAAAGAAACTGGGAACTGCAGGTGTAGGCTTTTTAATAAAAGAACAACAACAAATCTTCTTGATAAAAATAAAAAATAAACGATCTGGACGGCATACTGTTATGAACAAAGACTGGATACAAAACATTGATGAGAAAATTAGATGAAGCAGGCGCTTCGCTATTGACAAGCTTCATTAGCTACAGGTTTCAAGATCAGTAGCTTATAACATTGTTACTGACAAACTTCATTACAAAAAAAAGGGGGGGGGGTTGTGCTTATATGTTAAAAGATGGGTGCTTAAATGTTGACAGTAGAACATAAATCAAAATCACCAATGGGGACTACTTCATGACAATGCTTGGTCTCATGTTGAACAGGAACAAAAACACAACTGGCCAATTTTCATCGGGAAGTACTGCATCATCCACCATACAGCCCTGACATAGCATCATCAGATTTTCACCTGTTTGGAAAACTTAAGTAATTTCTTGGTGGAAGTCTTGGAAAATGACGACATTTTGAAAGAGACTATTACCAACTGGTTTAACAATCAAACGGCAGAGTTCTTTTAAGATGGGATCCAAAAGATCTTGCCACAACTTGAGAAAAGTTTCAAAGTTAATGGTGATAATGTTGAAAAAAGAATGTTTATATACTATTTTGTGAAACAGTTTATGTTCATAAATAAAAAATAATGCCAGTTCAAGAAGACACATTTGGAACATAAATACAAATAATCTAGAGCGTTTCTCACCTTATTTCTTCCCCTTCGAGTAGCTTTCGATAAGCAGCTATTTCTAAATCTAAGGCTACTTTAATGTCCAAAAGATCACGATATTCGACAAGTTGACGCTCCATTTCTGAACGAAGATTTTTGAGCTCTTCATCTTTTGAATTTAAAGCTTCTTTATGCCATTCTCTTTCTTGTTCAAGCATCTTTTCTAAATCTTTGATTCTGTGCAACAAAGATGAATTCTAAATAAATGAATAAAATGTCTTTTGAATTAAACATTACATTACTGAACAACAAAGATTAAAAATAAAATAAAAATGCTACTAATTAAAAAAAAAATTGAGTGTCTATGCATTTCATGTTTGAGTTGAACCTTTTCTTAAAAATTCAGTCGAAGTGGAGAGACATTTTTGTGAGAACGTGTTTTAACTTTCAAGACTACAAAAGAAACCTTAGAAATAACATTTACTAATTACAATTCACTTTACTTTTTTAGAACAAATATTTTCCACAAGTGTTTGTTTAAAACAGTTGTTAAAACAGTTCTATGAACTTCTCCTTAAAAGGTTTTTAATGTAAAAATGTGTTCCTAAATTTACATTAAAAGAGACAATTAGGAAACAATTCTTTCAAATCTGCGTTGTGGAAAACAATAATTTTAGATAAAATTATCACACAATTCCACAATGACTACTATTTTTGGGAGACAAAATAGTGTTTACAAGAGTATCTTTAAAATCTTTACTTTAAAGTTTTAACTTTTAAAGAAATCCAGAAAAAATCAGAAATGTTTTTTTAAATTTTTTTTTTTATGAAAATGTGCCTTAACCTTAATCTTACATTGAGACAGTTAAGGAATAATTTTTAACAAACTTGCACCCAGGAAACTATATTTTTGAAAATAAATATTCTTTATGAGTGTCTAATCTTTAAGATTGAGCAATACTTTTACTTTCAAGCATTAAATATGCAGGAAAATATCTTTTTTTTTGTTGGTTTATGAAAAAAGGTTTAAAAGTACTAACTTTTACAAATTTTGGGGGATGAAAATTATTTTTTCTTAAATATAAATATTTTTTTTAAAAGTGCTTTTTTTTTTAAAATGGTGTTAACAACTTATCTAGAATTCAGGAAAATCAGTTAAAAACTTGACTTATCAAAATTGGTTTTAACATTTGATGTTATAAAAAACATTTTAAAAATTTGTCAAAAATTTAAAATCCAATTTAATGCAGTCGAGTGTATGCAGGCTGACGTTGTGTGTGATCGAGACTGAGTATCAACAACGCAAGAAGGTGGATAATGCCACAGTCACGAGTAGCAAGTCAACTGTTCATGTGGACCCATATTTCTGTCTGTCCTGCGCTCATCTCCACTACTGTGTGTGGACGCTACTGGGAGGCTAGGGCCCATATGGGCTAAGCATGTCACTATGCATTCTATTCTATTTATCTCTTTTTGCCTTGTTTTTCTTGTTATTTTATCCTTTTCGTTCTTTTAAATTGGCCTGACATTCGAAAATTAAATTTAAAAAATGTGGATCATCCATTGAAGTGGGCGTTACTGCCAAGATAGGGGTGTTCGTATCGAAGTGGGATTTTCTGCCAAGGTACGCATGTTCACATCACATCCGAAAGTCACCAATGTAGAGAGCATATACTAGTGAATTGGAATTATATTTTTGTGGTGGTAGATACACTACAAAATATTTCTCAAAACTTTGAACTGGAAAAGCTATCATTATGATTTATTTCAGCAATGATGACCTATAGAATTTTAAAATTTGAAGAGACTTTAGTTTCAAAATAAGTAAGTATCACAGTCTTTTATGATGGCAGATAGCTATGGCATTAAACTTTGCATTAACAGGGTTGCCACTCAAACATGGAAAAAAAATTCACTGTGTTTTACCTCCACATATTATACACAATATATTAAGAGGAAACAGACTGCACTTTTGTGTGAGCTATATTGTATTAACTATAGTAAATTTAATTACCGGAGAAACTTAGAGAAAAAAGGTACAGCTGAACATATTTAAAACAAATAATGCTAGAGTAAATTAAATAGTTTAATATAGCTGAAATATCATCCTTAAATATGCCATAGATTTGGCTTTGAGTGGTCACCATTTTTTAAAAGACGAAAATAAGAAACGAAATTCCCTGTATTTTCCCAGTTTGTAAAGGAAAAAAAATCAAAATTCCCTGTTATTTTAGGTATCCAGGTTTTTACTGTGGAGTGGAAAACCTTGATTAAGAATTATTCATTGGATTAGGTTGGGATTAATTTGCAATGACTTACATGCATGTAAACAAAAAATATAATTTTTCAAATAAATGTATACAAACGGTGGATTCCAAATTAGCATTCTTTGAATTAAGACTATCCACTTTAGTCTTATAAGTCCTGAGTTCATCTCTGTAAGATGTAGAAGATTCTGTGTAGCGATCAAGTTTNAAAAATAAAATTTTAAGAAAAAGTATTTTGTGAAACTACCGTTTTTCCTAAAGTTGAATTTGTGAAACTACCGTTTCACCTAAAATTGAATTTGTGAAGGTACCGCTAAACGGTAGTAAATTCGGCCTGGACAGACCCCTGAGGGTTGCCACTCAAACATGGAAAAAAAAATTCACTGTGTTTTCCCTCCAGATATTATACACAATATATTAAGAGGAAACAGACTGCACTTTTGTGTGAGCTATATTGTATTAACTATACTAAATTTTATTACCGGAGAAACTTAGAGAAAAAAGGTACAGGTGAACATATTTAAAACAAATAATGCCGGAGTAAATAAAATAGTTTAATATAGCTGAAATATCATCCTTAAATATGCCATAGATTTGGCTTTGAGTGGTCACCATTTTTTAAAAGACGAAAATAAGAAACGAAATTCCCTGTATTTTCCCAGTTTGTAAAGGAAAAAAAATCAAAATTCCCTGTTATTTTAGGTATCCAGGTTTTTACTGTGGAGTGGAAAACCTTGATTAAGAATTATTCATTGGATTAGGTTGGGATTAATTTGCAATGACTTACATGCATGTAAACAAATTAATTTGTAAACAAAAAACATAATTTTTCAAATAAATATATACAAACGGTGGCTTCCAAATTAGCATTCTTTGAATTAAGACTATCCACTTTAGTCTTATAAGTCCTGAGTTCATCTCTGTAAGATGTAGAAGATTCTGTGTAGCGATCAAGTTTTTTTTGTAGATCTGCAATCTAACAAATACATTCACAAATTATTTTTTAATTTCATAAAATATGAAACATTACAGGATATTATTCAGAAATACAGAATGAAAAAAAAAATTGTCTACAAAATTACAAAGGTAAAAACGTTTTCAGTCATTTTAAACAATAAACTATGACATAATGAGGAAGAATTCGCACATTCAGTATAATGAATTGTGTTTCATTAACCCTTTAAAAGACTAACTATATGCGTAAATTTGCATAAAATATCCCCACCAAGCAAAGAATCCCCCATTGCCCTACGAAAGTTCTTTTCAGTACAAGAAGGTAAACAGGAACTGTGTGCCAGGGTGATAGTAGTAGGGTTAATATGTCTCTGTTTAAGTAGGATGACCAGAAATTAAAGTTATGTCATGAATCCGGCCACTTTTTTAGTAGTATCAATCTTCAAATCCTTTTGACTATGTCTAAAATTGGACTGACTTTTTCCTGCTATGCACTGCTTTAACATGAAATAGCAACATAAGAGAAGCAGTTATTCTATTGCAGGAAAGTACAAGCTTGAAAATTTGGAAAAATACTGACTCAGAAAGTTAATGCTAAGAATAAAACTAAAAGCACTCATCATATAAAGCAAATACATTCCTTGTACTTTCATTGATTCTTTTGTGTAATAAATGGTTCTTCAATATTTATAAATATTTAAGCAAATAATATTATTATGGACTTCAAAGTTAGCAAAAAATCAACCTTACCAAATAAACTATAACAACAATTGGCCCACCAAAACATGGAAATAAAATTTTAAGTAAATTAAGGAAGAAAGCAAATTAAAGAGTCATGATAAAACTTTTCTATAAAAATCCTGCTATCAAAACTCATTCATAAATCACTTTCATTTAAGAACATGAATGGACAGATTACTGGTTAATTGTTGACTATAATTTATTCACTATTAACCAGTGTTCTCCCTAAGCATTTTTCAAAGGGCGGCCCGCCCTGCCTGCCCCTTTCCCGAACTGATGCGCCCCTCATTGCCCTTTTTATCATAAACAATCCGCCCTTTTAGAAAAATTGCCGCCATTCTCGCTTTCTTCCCTTATTCCCCACCCCTCCAAAAAAGAAGTCATTTTTCTTTCTTGGAAAAGGGGTATTGCTGGCTTTCTGTGACAGATAACGGCCGATAAGATAATCTCCGTGAAGGGGGCGGAGATTAACATGATAAACGTGTTTTGAACTCTTTACTTAGCCAGTTTGCAAAAGCTTATTATAAATTACTCTATCTTCTTATCTTTCTTGAGTTAGCCACTATTTTGTCTTAGTGAGGAAGAAAAATATGCCGTCCAGCGAAAGAAGAAAACGACAGCGTGATAAAGATTTAGGGAAAATTAGCCAAAATTGTAAGAAATTAAAAGATTTCTACTTTACCAGTTCAAAGGTAAGTTTCTAATTATTATTAATTGTTTCCATTTGTAAAGATTTTTGTTCCGTTCGATAAACGCAGTAATTCCTTAATAGGAAGATATATAGGTCCAGGAACGGCCTAGTCAGTTGCGATCACACGCGATTTAAGCCCCGCTATTGTTTTACTGTGCTATTTTTTGTAAAATTTTTATTAGAGGTGCCACTGTTTTTTTTTTATTATTACATATTATGTTATTTACTTAAATCTAAAATATTACACACACGCGGCGATAGTTTTATAACTTGCTGAACGTGCCCATAAATATCCCGCTAGTTAACTATGCTGATTTTATACAACTTTTATCGAAGGTTCAGCTATAATGTTTTGTTATTTTTAAATATTTTTTTATTCATTAATCATTTTTAAAGTTATCTATAATTAGATTCAGAATAAAACGCGCAATATGTCGTAACACGTGTGCGTCAAGTACCGAGTTTTGTTTAATTATTTTTCTTCTATCCTAATTATTTACGTTCTTTTGTTATTGTTTTTTCTTTAATTAGGACTTATTAAATAAAGTCCAAAATAATACGCGCACGTGAAGAATGTTTTATGACTTGCTGTCGTAAAACGTGAACATAAAGGTTCCGCTATTTTACTATTGTGGTTTTATGTAAATTTTATCGAAGGTATATTGTTTTGTTAATTATTTTTAAATTTATCTATAATTAGATTCAGAATAAAACGTGCAAGCTGGGGGGGGGGTTATTTTACAATGCGATGTTGTAACACGTGCGCGTCAAGTATCGCTATTGTTTAATTTTTTTTTTTTTTTTTANGGAGATTTTTCACTGCGATACGCGTCAAGTACAGCTATTGTTTAATTTTTTCTTTTTTCTCATATGTCGCTCGCTACGTCGTTTTGTTATTGTTGTTTTTTTAATTTTAAATTCAGAATAATACGCGTTTTACACTGCGATGTTGTAACACGTGCACGTCAAGTACCGCCATTGTTTAGTAATTTCTTTTTCTTACTTTCATCTAAAATGTCGTGTTATTGTTGTTTCGTTGATTAAAAGTTATTTATAAGTTATCCATAATTTGATTAAAAATGAAACATGCAATATTTTACACTGCGATGTCGTAGCAGATGCGCGTTAAATCCTGCTATTGTTTTATTTAATTTTATCTGAATTTCAAACTTTTATCTGAAATGTCACTACGTTATTTTGTTATTGTTGTATCTCAAATTTAAAGGCGACGCAAACGGGTGCTCGTTTTTAATACTGATAGCTTGTTCCAATTTTTAGAAATTGCTGGGGGGCACTCCAAATTGGTTAAAAAATGTCAGAATGATAGTTAGCGTATGTGGGTTTTCTTTTCTTTTTTTAATTATCTTTATTTCCAGAGCTGAAATTAATAACAAAAACGAGGCTGCAGAAAGTGAATGGGATTAACATGTGGGCGAGGGCGACTACGAGATTTATAACAAAATCACAAGCTGATTTGATGTTATTAAAAAATTAATCTGCCGAAAAGTATACAGATTTTATTCAAGAATTTGCTACTTAATTAAAAGCTAAATTCTAAAATGAATATAATTTTGCATTGCGTTTTGTCATAAGGTTCGATAAATTAAAAGTGCCCTCGTAAAATAGAAAGAAAGGTGTTAGATTTAACTTTTAAAATGAGTTTTTCGAAAATAATTTTGCCGCTAAATACAGGGGTGAAAATATTCTACGATTTTTCCAATTCGTGTAAATTTTTTTTAAATTTCGTTTTTAAATTGTAGCATTATTAATATTTGTCTTGACAAAAAATAATAATAATTTAATTTTACTTTTGTGTTAAAAATCAAAAAATTTAGTGAATTTAAATTATTTTAAAAGTTATGAATATAATTCAGGTATTCAGGGGTGATTGTGAGTCCAACTCAAAAATCCGGAAAATTTCTTGAGTAAAATCATTAAACATTAAAGACGCATACCGCCTTTATAAATTTAAATCATTGATATTTTCAAAACATTGAATTCTAAATAAATTATATACAGCATAACTTAAATGAATAATTATGTATAAGTTTATTTTTATTTCTAATCACATTTATTGTTCTACCAGAAAAAATATTTACAAATGAAAGATACCAAGTATAAATTCTAGTTCTTCTACTTGGGCACTACAGCCTTTGACAGGTCATGGCCGTACCAAAAAGTTTTTGCCATCTTGATCTATTCTGTGCTATGGCCTAGTTCTAATATTTTTAAATAAAATATGCAAGAATTTTTATACATAAATGTGAACGATGATTTCTTGAAACTTCGGGACCTAAGATTTCCGGAGTGCAATTTGGGAAAAATCCGGATTTTTTCCGGAGCACAATCACCCCTGGTTATTTATTGTCTGCGTGAAAATTGCATTGATTTTCCTCTTTTTTTTCATATTTAATTACTAAACCACATTGTTTTCCGTTGTTATTATTACAGACTTCTGCACAAAGTGCAGAAATTCAGCAAAAGCTACAAGATGTGACGGATATACGAGATGTGCCAGATGAAATTAGAGATGAGCCAGCTGAAATAAGAAATGTGCCAGATGAAATACAAGATGTGACGGCTATACGAGATGTGCCAGATGAACTTAGAGATGAGCCAGCTGAAATAAGAAATGTGCCAGATGAAATACAAGATGTGACGGATATACGAGATGTGCCAGATCAATTTAGAGATGCGCCAGGTGACATACAAAGTGTACCAGGTGACATAAGAGCTGTACAAAATCCAGTTGAAATACAAAAGGCGCCAGAGCAGGAAAACAAGGGAAGTAATAGCAACAGTAAGCATAAAACCATCTTTGATGTGAAGTGGCTGGAAATTTTTAAGTGGTTGCGGCACAATGAAGTTGAAGGTAAGGAGGTGTTGCATTGTAGCCTTTGTATAAAGCATAACTGTGGCCACCATAATGCTTGGGTTAGCAAAGGCATTACAACAATTCGACTCGACAAAATTAAAGAGCATGAGAAATCCCAGCTCCACACATCATCAATATCTGCCGAACTAGCGGAAGAGAATGAAGATAGCGACACAATAAATTGTGAGTCTGAGGAATTTGCTGCTGTTAAAGCTGCTATGCAGTGTTTGAATTTTTTAATACAGCACAATTTACCTCACACTACTTTGTATGAGCCTTTCCTTAAGTTTTGCATGGATGTCCTGAAGAGTCCAGTACTTTTGCCTCTTCAGAAAAGTAAAAATGCTCATTATAGGAGTCAAAGAGCTATGTATGAGTTTTTGGATACAATGTCTTCTGTTAAGAGGGAAGATATCATAGAAGAAATCGGCGAAAGCCCATCATTTTCTCTACTGGTTGATGAATCTTCCGATGTCAGCAACAGAAAACACATGGCAGTTGCCGTGAGGTACCTGAAAGATGGCTGTGCAAAAATGGCATTTGTTGCGGACAAGCAAATTAAGGACGGTAAAGCTGAAACTATTTTCACAGAACTGCTACCAATAATAGAAGACTGTGGCAGCTTTAAAAAGATGTCCAGTTTCACAAGCGATGGCGGCAGTGCAATGGTTGGCAGACATGAAGGAGTCGCTACAAAAATCAAAGAAAAGAATAAAAAAATTATCTCAATGAACTGCCTCAATCACAGGTTGGCCTTAGCCACGAAAGATAGCTTCAATTCTTTGACGCGATTTGTTAAGTTTGATGAAGTATTAAATAGTACCTATAAGTACTTTAAGTCCAGTTGCACGCGGACAAGTTTGTTGGTGACTGTGCAAGATGTATTTGGTGTTGCCAAAGGTACAACAATAAAGAGAGCCGGTTTTACTCGATGGCTTTCGCATGGCAATGCCATTAATTCTATTCGTAAAAATTACAAAGCCATCCTGACGAATTTGGAAAATACTGTAGCATGCGGTGAAGAAAGTTCCAGTCTGGCAGGGCCAAGTGCTTCAGGACTTCTAAAGCTGTATAAGGATTTTGATTTATTTCATATTGTTCATTTTATGTGCGACGTACTGGATATACTTGATAAACTTGATCTTTTTTTCCAAAGAAAGGAAATTGATCTAGGTTCGATTCAGATAAATATTGAAGGGGCTATACGAAGCCTCAAAAAGTTGAAAAAGAAGCCTGGGGGTGCATTTTGCAGAGGCATTGAAGAGAGTGCTCGCAAGTTGGGCATAAATGCACCAATTGAATCTAGCAGTGGCGCATTTTCTGCTGATGCCCGTAGGTTTATAACTTATCTGGTAGAAAATATGGAGGCAAGGCTAGAAAGCCAAACAATTGTCTCTAGTTTGGGAGTGTTAAACTTGGATAAGATAAGAGCAACATCATTTCCATCAGCTTATGGAAATAGTGAAGTTCTGGAGATGTCAGAGCATTTCAGCATTGACGATAGTGATCTGTTAGAAGAGTGGGATGACTTTAAGACTTTTTTTTTATCGCCAGACTTTGAATGTATGGACTTGAGTATAAAAAATTTATGTGCCACTCTCTGGAAGTCTGAAAGCATGATTGGGGACAGATTTCCTCTAATCAAACACTTGTTAAATGTAGCATGCTCTATTGCAGTTTCAAATGCTGAGGTAGAAAGAATTTTTTCTGCAATTAATCTTATTATTACAGATAAACGAAATCGCTTGCATGTTGAGACAACAAGCAAAATACTGATGTTAAAGATGAATGAAGAAGTTGATTTCACAAAGTCTGTAAAAAAGTGGTTGCGGGGGAAAAGAAGGCGCATTTTCAATAAATAATGTGACTTAATTTATAACAATTATTCTAACAGGGAAGAAAATTCTTCTTATCATTTTTTTAGGTTTTATTTTATTCTATTCATTGTTATTTATTTAAAATTGTTGTAAAAATTGCATAAAGTAACAAAAATAATACTAATAATTCGCACATACATTTTTAAGACTACTATCAGAATCTGGAGATATTTTAGTAAATGCAAAGACAGAGCTAGCTAAATTTCATACACAAGTTTTCTTTAAATTCAAATATTTTTAAATAACATTCAAAATTTTTACTAAATTTTTCATCAAATAAATTCCTGATATATATAATATTGTAAAAAAGAATATTTTAATCATGGTTCTCTCAAGTGTATTGATGATATTATTTATTAATAGAATTTTTTCTTCCTTTGAATTTTAAATGTTAGTTTTTTTCTAACTCGCTATGATTCTATGCATTTTGAGTTCATTATTTTTTTTTGTGTGTGTGTATTTTTATGTACAGTAAAGAGATTTTTTTTTATTATCTTATTTAGCTTTTGTCTAGTAGTTTCTCAAGTTATCTCATCATATCATTTTTTAAAATATATATATAAATTTGCTTAAACATATCTCATATCATTCTATGTAATGTTACTGAATGAGTTCGAAAGTATCATTTATAAGCTCAAGAAGTAAATTTAATTTCCTAAAAATCATTCTTTACTAAATACATTACCTGAAATAGCCTATTATGTTAAGTCTTAACTATCTAGTCATTAGATGTCATTCTTAACTTGTTGTAAATTTTTTTATCAATTTAATAATAAAACAATCGCTTAATTTAAAAGGTTTTTCCAATTCCTTACAAAAACATTTATAAAGAATCATTTGTAAATATAAAATTAATTTTCCTCACAAGTTAATTTCACTTATTATATGTGAACAATAGTGAATAGTTTAACTCCATTTTATGATATAAAAAAAGAAAGGTCTGCTCTTATATTTTTATTTATTCCACAAAAAAAGAATCACATCTACTTTTTCTCAATAAAATTGATATTTTTCTTTGAAAGCACTGTGTCAGTCTGTTTTTTGAAAGAATACTTTTAACACCCAAACCTTGAATCACACATGCATATCTATATTTTGTTTATAATGCTATTCCTAATTTTTTTCTATTGATTTAATCCAGAAATGCCTCCCATTATTTATCTTAATAAGCTTGTGAAAAAATGAAACTTGCTATAGACAGAAAATTATCCATGATTAGCGAAAGTCTTGATTAACATTTTTTTTCTTTCTTTTTAAATATGAGCTAAGCTCATATTAGTCACAAAATATACTAAAATTAAAATTTTTAAGTACTGCATTTTTTCAAATAAATTAGTTTAATCAAAGAAATTAACAACAGATTAAATTAATGAAGAAATTAATTAATTTCATAGATATGCAAATGCCAGCTCTTTTGTGTCATATTGGGATTAAAANATGAATGGACAGATTACTGGTTAATTGTTGACTATAATTTATTCACTATTAACTTTATATTAAATTTACCATACTTATTTTTTTTATATAAATGATTTGCTTTTCTAAAATAGCAAAAATTTTATTTTGTACTACAAGTCTACTCTATAAATGCAAAATACCCAGGTTTTAATAACTTGGGGTAAATACCCATAATTCATACATATCTAGGTGTTTATCAATTTTATTAAAAAATCATGTTATGTTTTTCTTTAAAATTCTGTACAGTTAAAGCACAATTCGGTTGTGTTTAAAATTGTCAAAAGTTATTTATTTCCTCTGAAGAAAAATTTATTTACTTAAACAGGTAAATTATTAGAATTATATAAGTTTTCTTTAGTTGAGAGTGGTTTAATCGCCTTTAAATTCACATTTCTGACTAGCATTTTTGCCTGTGCTTGGTATAAGTGGAGGCCCTGTATAAACTAATAAAGATAATAGAAATCATTCTTTGGAAATATGTAATAAAGAAGACATAGAAAATGTTTCTTATCACTTCAATTAAAAACAGAGTAAAGATGTTACCTTTGATTCATACAAAGCTTCAATCTCATCTCTGTTAATATGCAGCTGAGTTTCATATTGTTCCCGTAATTCTTTTAAAGAATCTGCAAGCTTCTGTTCATAACTTTCAGTTAACTTAGAATTTAACTCCAAAATTGCAGTCTCTTTCAAGTGCTTAGTTTCACTAATCTCCTAAAATGAAGAAAAGAAAATTTCTTTTTAAAACCATCAAATATTAAAATTAAAAGGCCCTATTACCACCTTAACTAATTTTTTGTTAGTTTAGAAAGAAAGAAACAAATATGGTATTAATTTTCTTCTAGATCCTAGGTAAAGTGGACGAGGTGAACATTTAGAATCATCAATGCATTCTGCATTAATCAATTTTTTACATTTTTTAAAAAATTGCTCGAGAATTTTTTTACCGACCAGCATAATGTGCTCATGTGTCATTTTTTTTTTTATCTTTAAGTTTGTTTTAGAGATGTAAAATTTTACAGACCTCACACTTTAAAAACTGCTATAATAAAAATATATATATTTATTTGAACAAGTGAAATCTATTAAACATGGCAATTTATATCTGGAACACATTAATATTAATGTTCCTAAATAGTTTTCAAATGCAAGTAGTTCAATAACTATAAAACAACTGCAACTACACCTTTAAGCACAAAAATATGCACATAATTTAAATGATCAAGAGCATTGGAATCAAAAACCAGCGAATTTATCTATTTCTGTTTGCTTTACAAAATGTAAAGTTATTGTGGTTTAATTTTCTGGCTGTATGATGAATTTTTACTGAAATATGAAAATTCTTCAATAACTTTTTACATAATTAACCGTTTTCCTGATTATCTCGAGTACATATATATTGCAAATATTTATCATCTCGAGAAAACTCGGACGTAGCAGAATTCAGTACATTTTGTTTTATCACGTTTTTAATCGGTCGGAAACAAAAAACATGTTTTTGCTGTCATTGGAAGTTTGTCAAGTTTTATGTAAGAGTTTTGGTGTTGGACTGCACACGTGTTTTATGCGACTGTCCAAACGATGGTTGCTAAATTTACATAGCAATAAAAGTTCTAAAAAATTACATTACCCTTCACTGACGTTTGAAAAGTATCATTTTGTGTTGTCCCTTGTTCTAAGAACTATCATACAAAGACTAATATTTAACTTTTTTCATTTGCCCGAGATCATTCAAAATAATTGGTAGAGTTAATAATGAAAAACGAGGATCTGAACAAGTGCACAATTAGTTGACATCTTAAGAGAGGAGTCTCACGTTATTCAGTAAGCTTCACAGTATTTCTATTTTCTTTTTTCCTTCAAATTGGTTTGAATATAGTTTTAAGGATGAAAAATATTGTAAAAATAATTACACATGCTTTAATTTGTAATATAATGGTAGTCATAAATCAAACTTCTTTTTAAAGACACTCACAGGAGTTTCCTTTTAAATTTGCATGTTTAAAAGGATTTTAAGGACAATCGACATACTTAAAGATTTAATATACACTTTGACATATACAGTTTAATACTGAGCTCTTTATACCTCAAACCACCAGTACATAAATAGTATCTTCTCTAATCATCACACGAAATGATTGAGACTGAGTGAGGTCTGTATGTCACAACAATATGCAAATTGCTTGAAGTGTAAACAATTAAGAAACCTCTCTATAGTTCAATTAAGTTAAGAAAACACAACTTATGGTAATCCTGAACATAATTTTAAAAAACTATTTTGTAAGCATGTGTTCTGACCATATATTATATATATATATATATACAGGGGTCTGTCCAGGAGAAAATTATGACCGTTTAGCAGTACCTTCACCAATTCAACTTACGGAAAAAGGGTAGTTTAGCAAAATACTTTTAAAAGAGCAAGTTCTAAGATCCCCTGCCATATAAATTTAAATTTTTGTTGTCATATCCCCACAAATGAAATGATGAAGCTGTCCCTCGGTAAAGTTTACAGAAAGTCGAAGTTCACAATATATTATTTTACACGTTTTTCTAAATTTATTCCAATAGAACTTTTTTTTCTGTATGACCCAGTCGAAAATGTTCTCAGTATGGAGGCAACTTTTAGTGTTGTTAAATGTATGCTTTTATTAAATTCAAGTTGAAATTTAATTATGGACAATCAATTTTATGAATATTTAAATTTTAAGTACAAAATTTTACAATAACAGAATTATTTTTGAACATATGGAAAAAATATAGAGAGAAATTTACCAGTCATGAATAATTTTCATGCGTAGTGACAACAGGGTGCGTAGCCAAATCTTTGAATCAAAAATAAGCACTTTTTAAAAACTTTTCAAGCACTTTACAAAAATTTTCAAGCACTCAAAAAATTCATATTCAATCAATGATATTATTGAAAAACANAGGTAAATTTTTGTTGTCGTATCCCCACAAATGAAATAATGAAGCTGTCCCTCGGTAAAGCTTACAGAATGTCGAAATTCAAACTATTATTTTAAACATTTTTCTAAATTTATTCCAATAGAACTTTTTTGTTCTGTATGACCCAGTCGAAAATTTTCTCAGTATGAAGATAACTTTTAGTGTTGTTAAATGTATGTTTTTATTAAATTCAAGTTGAAATTTAATTATGGACAATCAATTTTATGAATATTTAAATTTTAAGTCCAAAATTTTACAATAGCAGAATTATTTTTGAACATAATATAGAGAGTAATTTACCAGTCATAAATAATTTTCATGCGTTAGTGACAATTTTTGAAAATATTTCTAGTACTGTACTTTCTTGTACTTTCGTGTTGATTTTTGAATATAATTTTCACAAAAACCTAAACAGACCCCTGATTTATAAATAAACTTAAACATTCAGCAAAAGGACAGAATGTCGAATATTTGTTACATCCCTACTTTTTAAGAGTGACTATCTGTTAACAGTATCATAGGAAAGACACATTTTGATTTCAGTCAGATGCCCTCTTCTCAAAAATTCTGCAATAACTTCAGAACTTACAGCTGCAACATCTCATTAAATCTGCCCACAACTAAGTATGTGCACCCTATGTTTTAGAACTGCCATCTAGAATAATATAAATGCAAAAGGACACCTGGTACTAAATTCCCCATACTCTAGAATTAGGGGGCGGGGAACAATTTCAGCCCATCAAAATTTGTTGTTAAAGAACTGTTGCCAGAGATTGTAATTATACTAGCTAGCAAAAATACATATTTCATTCTTCTTAAAAAAAAAAGGTCATTTTATTCATACATGTTTAAAGAAATTTCTATTTTGAATGGAATAAAGTTAATAATAAACTAACATTTTTGTATTGAGAAAAATACTAACATTTGCCCATTAGCAGACCAATCAATACCTTTTGATGGACGGATTCTTTAAATGCCAACTCTTCTTTAGAACTCTGATATCTGTTTTGGAAATCCACACGAGTTAAAGTTTCATCATCCAAATCTTTCTTTAAGGAAGAAACTTGTTGAGACAATGTCTTGATTGTACTCTCTAAATCCTTTAAGAAACGAACACACATTTAACATAGTAATTGCAGGAGAAACATTTTGTGACAATTTCATCTCTGTTGGTATTTTAAAAATTAAAGAAAGAGTTCAGGTAAACCATCAAATGTTGAAATAATGTTTTCAAAATATCAAAATTTAAACAAATTATGGAACGATAACTTCACAAAGTAGTCATGCAATAATTTGTTTCTATTTTGTTATATATATATATATATACAGTATTAAAATTCGAAGTCTAGAGAAAAGTGAAATGACCTAGAGTAAGACATTAAGTTTCAAATGTTGAAAAACTATTTTCAAAATATTGAAGTGCGAACAATTTGTTGGAGAACTTTCCCACAACTTAATCCCAAGTAATTCACTCATAATTTGTTTCCTTTTCGTTGAAGTTCAGTATCTGAAACTTCAAGGTCATACCTTTATACACAAATATTGTTCGCGAATAATTTTTTACTACTATACTAAGAAAAATATATGCCTCTTCAAAAAAAGTTTGCATTTTATTAATTCCCAGGAAAAGAATTTCTATGCCTTTTCCTACAAATGCAAACACTATTTAAAATTACAATCACATAATTTAAAGTCACAGATAATGATAACGCACAGAGAATGAAGCCTGAAATTGTGAATCTCTTACAAAATGCAGCAGTCTTGCATATAAGAGTGCAAGAATCATCAAATTTAGCTCAGTGTATGAACTTGCAAACCAGCAATATATAAAATGATTTCATCAAACACATATAATGAAATAACGGTTTCATACGCTATAGTAAGTTGTAATGGGTTATAGTTCAATGAAGTGTGAGAATGTTGAATGGAACAATACAGGTAAACACCATGCTGTTTGCGGCAAAAATCAACATGGTAAAGAAAAAAATCTTATATTGCAAAAGTGAAAAATAATAACATTTTAAAAACATCTAACGAAAAAATCACCTTTAAGAGCTTTTAAAAAATGAAAATGGGCACCTTTAAGCACTTTTCAAAAACACTACGCACCTTGTTATTCAAAAAGTTGGGATTCCACCGAAAGAAGGCTAATTTATTTAGAGCTCTATTGAATGTAACTTCTTTCATATCATGTCTTTAAAGTTTAGAAATGCTTTCTACTTAATAAGTAATAATTGTACTAACTCTACATTGATTTGTACATCTTCTGTTTTCCGATGTTAAAGTTGACACTCTTCTTTGCAAATCTTGAACCAAAATATCACATGATTTGATTTGTTTCTCTGCATTTGTCAGCTCTTTCTCTTTCTTAAATAATCTAAATAAAAATCAGAAACTAAATAACTGAAAACATGTACAAAAATATAAGGACTACTGGCCTTAAATTTAATTTTTGAATTATAGTTATTTTACTACATAGGAAACTAAATTTCCTTTGCAACTCAACAAAAAAAAAAGTTTATACTATAATTTTTTAAAAATTGTTTTATACAAATTTTTTTATACATAGACTTATGTGCCCTCTTTCTTAGATTAAAGACAAAATATTTAAAATATGAAATAAAAAGACTAAGCAATATTCGTATATTTAAAATCATTAATTTTATTAACTTTTTAGTAGTTGTGGACCCAATATATGTTTATTAGTACAGATGCACTTCAATGTAAGTATTTCGAAAACCAATATTTCCATGAAAAAATAAAAGTTTAAAACACAATCTAAATTAAAATTGTGCGTAAAACAAAGAAAACATACACAATTTAATATTCCAAAAAGTAAATAAATACTTTACTTCGTTTTCAGTTCATCCACTTCTGACTTGAGCTTCTCATTTGAAATCTGTAATTTAGCTTTCTCCTTTGCTGTATAATCCAACAGTTGACGAACATCAGTTAATTCTTTGTCATAAACAGTTTTTACTTCAACGACGGCCTTTTGAGTCGTTTCTTGGGTTGTTTGAATAAGTGTGCTTAATCTATTGTTTTCGCTTTCAAGATTTCGGACGGTATCTATATAAGTGGCCAAACGGTCATTTAAACTTTGCAATTCTTCTTTCTCTTGAACTCTTGTTATACGCGTGGGACTGAGACGAGACCGTTCGCCAGCGCTGCCGGCCCGAGGCGAAGAGATGCCGGTAGAGCGACGACTCATTTCTACCGGTCGGCGAAGCAAGTCAACAACAAAGTGAATTTCACTTCGATTCGATATTTCGAAATAATGGAACAACTATCTCACCGGCCGCTGGTGTTACGTTCACCTACGAATTTGCGGCGGTAACTCAAGAGTAGGGAGCGCCAAAGCTATTCTCACGCCAAGATCACGCCAGCAACGTAACTACAAAACGTAAAGTCAGGGGCTCCGGGAACTTATATTTTTAGGAGGGCGAAAATTCCTATTTTTCCGAATGAAATTTCGAATTTGAAATGAAAAATCAATAATATGTATATCTTTCTTTAGTTTTAATAAAAAAATATTAGTCGCTAGTATTTTCCCTATGTGCTAATTTTCCACCAACATGTTACTGATTTAACGACTTTATACTTAATTATTCTAATCAATGAACTGCGATTGCACAATGGGATAAGTTTGAACTATTTTGAAGAGCTCGGGATCTATCCCCAGCGGCGGCTTGAAGACAATCCAGCTTCGAATCGATGAGTATCATTTTATATTGAAATTAAAGTAAAGGCTTCCTGTGCGCAATGTGCTGACCACATTGTCACAATCAGCAAGTGCCACATCCTCTATGAAACACTTGACAAGTAAAGGGCTGAATGCCTTACTTTTATTATTTTAATCAATAAATAATAGACCATTTGTTTAAAAAAAAACGTTACAAAATTTATTGATTCGCAGTTAAGATGCTGAGGGCGTAATATTTTACTATCCCAATCAAATGATTTCGTAATCTCGTCGAATATCAGATAGAAATAAAATAAGTAGAAAGATAATCAAAAGCTAAGCTAAAGCTTGTTGAACTTATTTAAAATATATTTGTTGTGTTTAAAATGGGCTACAGATGGCGCAGAGCTGAAGTCTACCTTATGGGAATACTTCTCGTGCTTTCACCAAATAGATTAAAGAAGTTTATTTCAAGAAGCTATACGGAACTCAAAACTACATTAAACATAGCTCTTAAAGAAAGTGTCGTGGTAATTTTAGAAAATGTTTTTGAGAATTGTCGAAATGAAATTTTTTTTTCTTAACAGTTTCGAGTGGTGGAAAATTAATTTCTATCTCTGTCTTTTTTTTTCTTTTTTTTAAAAATTCGGGGAACCTCAGAATCTTAAAAGGGCTCTTAAAAATGCTTTGCTCCAGAATCCGCAAAATCGAACGATTGGTGGCTTAACTTTACCAATGATGTATTCTGTATCTCTTTCTTTTATAAAGATAATAAAGAAGAAGAATAAAGATAATGATCTAGATAATAAAGATAGTAAGATAATAAAGATAATGATCTTTGGCCAAGATAATGATACTAAAGATAACATATTATAATATTACTAATAAAGAACTTTACTTCATATTAGGATTTATTTATGTATTTATTTTTGTTTTGCTGCCTACAAAGTACTGGAAGTTTTTGCAGACAGGTACCGTTTATTTTGCAAAAATAAATAAATAAATAAAATGTTTAATATTTGGATTAGTTAAACATTATAAATTTGGAAAAGATGCTATCCTGACAAATTATAAATATCTCCTTGAAAGTCTTCGCATCTTTTCAATTCAATTTTCTTTTTTTTTTTTGTTGACCTAATGCCTCTCAAAGGCAATGAAAAAGGTAAGAAATTAAAATTACATATTTTAATTTAATTTTATTTTATATAATAACAAATTTTATAAATTAAAATGACGGATGAATTAAAATTTTCCCAGTTGAAGAGATTGCGGTACATCAGTCGCACACTTTCTCTGTTTATACCAACCTGAATGTAATTTTTCTTTTGTGTAATTATGAAAGCGGAACCTACCTTCCGAAAAGAAATATCTGTATCAACTCTTTTCGAAATATTAATTAAAATTAAATCGAAATATTAATTGAAATTTTGATTAAAATCAATAATTATTCTTTTATTAATCTCTTTGATTTGTTGTAAATTAAATTTTTTTTATACAAAAGAGACAATTTAGTGTATGGAGCACAATTTTGTTAAACTTTAAAATAAGAATTTCAATTGAAATCAATAATTATTGCTTTACTAATCTTTTTGATATGTTGTAAATTAAAAATTTTTTGTATATAAGAAACAATTTAGTGTTTGAAACACAATTTTGTTAAACTTTAAAATAAAAATTTTACTAAAAATCAATAATTATTCTTTTACTAATCTTTTTGATTTGTTCTAAATTAAATATTTATTTTTTATACAGAAGAAACAATTTAGTGTTTGGAAGAAAATTGGAGTGATACAGTTCTCTTTTGCGATTCCTAAATTCCATTCTAATCAAGACATAAAATAAATAAAGGATGAGTCATAATCTGTTAGAAGAGGGGCCACGCCCTCGAATCTCTTGCTACACACCCACGCTCAATAAAAGAGAACAAGAATGATGAATATGAGGATGAATTTAAAGATGACGTCATTTCAGTTTTCAAACACTTATAACCTGGAATCAGTTGGAGGAGGAAGAGAAAAAAAGAATACAACTTGAAATATTATTCAGAGCTTAGAACTTGGTTTTGAAGTCCGGTTTTGCTTTTTGGTTTTATTTTCTCTTTCATTGGTAATAGTTATTTTTAGAAAAGTATACGTTGCTTGGCCATCGCTGGAAATAATTAAATGGATAAATCTTATTGACTGATTTCATGTTCGTTATCACTTATTCTTTGTTCACGTTTACTAAATTTTATTTGAACAAAGCCTTTTTTTTATTTTTTATTATTATTATTATTTTTTTTTTTTTTGCATTTTGAATTATTTTATGCGTTTATAAATTCCTATCGCAGTTTCTTCCCCATCCACATTTGCACGCTGTTTGGAGAGGATCCGTTTTTTTTTTTTTTTTTTTTTTTTTTTTTTTTAAAATTTTAGCTGTTAAAAGAATGAAAGGAATGTTTCCTAACGATTATTCTACTTTTTTTCATTTCATCGCAATTTACGGTGATTCTTTAATATTCAGTTTAATATTATTAACATCATTTGGCAGAATTCGCTTTCTTTTCCTCTCGATTTCAATTTTACCAGAATTATGTTGTTTCTCGCAATATGTTTTACACATATAATGAAATAACGGTTTCATACGCTATGGTAAGTTNTGTCCTCAAAATGAATAGTGTCAGTTAAATAAGTTGAAAAAAATTGTAAAAGCTAAGTTTCAGGGCACATTTGTTATTTAAATTCCTATATCGTGGGACTTGAATCAGGAAATCACTAACACCGATATAAATAAGGGGGAAAAATACGATAAAGGAATGAGGGAATACACAGGGCATAAATAATATTAAAAAAATAATACGCTAATTGTTTTACACATAAGTATTTTCTGGTTAATTTTAAATCCAATTAAATATATCTATTTATTGAATAAAGTAACTGAGCAAAATGGAGGGGCACAAAGAAAAAAATCATACTCAATACATAAATTGTTTCTCACCCTGTTCAATTTTTAACGAGGACCCATACCGCACACCCTCGGTCCCAACGCAGACTATTCCAAGTGGTCACCCACCTGCACACTGACCGCAGCGGATGGGTGACCACTTTGATCGGCTAGCGTAGGTTGTTGTTAATTTACGTCACACTAGAGCTGCACAATGGGCTATTGGCGACGGTCTGGGAAACATTCCGGAAGATGATCCGAAGACATACCATCACAATTTTGATCCTCTGCGGAGGGGATGGCTCCTCCGCTTCGGTAGCCCGACGACCTGCGCGCGAAGTCGAGCACTTTACGGTAGCACAGTTTAACGAGGACCAATACCGCACACCCTCGGTCCCTACGCAGACTGATCCAAGTGGTCACC